CAAATTTTTGTGGATACGCAGGCAGAATATTGCTGCTGGGGACATAAAAGCTCTCATAGCATTTTTTGAGAAAAGTCAGGATATGGCCTGTATTGAAGATGTCTTGCACATGGTTATTCGCGCCGTTTCGCAGATATCATTACTGGTTTCTTTCCTTGAACAAGTTAATATAATTGATGGTTGTCAGGTTTTCGTCAATCTTCTCCAACGGTATGTTGCCCTTGCATACTTTGCCTGGATTTTTCTTTATGTTAAATAGCAGCTATAGTGGCACTATAGCATTGTGGGTTTTGAAAAATCTGATATGCATACTTTGAAACCGAAGCTAGGGACAATAGTGGTCACATGCATATTGGAATACTGAACTGTTTTAGTTTAATTTGTCACATGATTCCATATTATAGGTGTTGAATATAGAGGAAATAGAGTTTGAGATTAATCTTCCTTGTGTATAAACCACATATAAGGTAATCTATTTATAATAGAGAGAGCTACAACTAAAAGAGTAACTGAAATTAAACAGAATAAACAGAAGATATTAATATCTATAACAATATCTAAACAATATCTAACACTCTCCCTCAAGTGGGAACATACAAATCGTATGTGCCAAACTTGTTACAAATATAATCAATTCTAGGCCCCTGTAAAGACTTAGTAAAAATATTTGTTAACTGATCACTTGAGTTAACAAACTCAGTCTTGATGTCTCCAGACATAATCTTTTTTTGAATGAAATGACAGTCAATCTTAATGTGTTTGGTCCTTATGAAAGACATGATTAGAGCTAATATGAAGAGCAGTCAATCACTTGTTTCGAACTCCGGTCCTATAAACACACAGAATTGTTGGTAAAAGAAATAACACAATCAAGAGAACGTGTTAGACGACTAATGGACAACAGGTTAAATGGAGACTCAGGGACATAAAGAACATTATCAATGGTTAAAGAAGGAAAAAGTTTAACAGTTCCAATACCATGAGATGATACTTTAGAGCCATCAGCCAGTGTAACAAAAGGTAAAGGATATAAAGAGGAGAACAAAGATTTGTTACCAGTAATATGATCAGTGGCTCCTTAATCAAAACCCAAGGACCAAGAGAAGAGGATTTGGTTAATCAAAACCCAAGGACCAAGAGAAGAGGATTTGGTCAAACCAGCAAAATATGTACATGTGTGTGCGACAGACGTAGTGGAACTAGAAGACTGTTGATCCTTATACCATTTGAGAAATTTGTTGAACATAGCAGGTGTGTCAGATGCAACAGAAGAAGGAGGATCCCCAGTAGACAAAGGTGGGGAAAGATCGGTCTGAAAAACTGCAGCAGATCGAGGAGGACGACCATGTAATGCATAACACTTGTTAATCTTGTGACCTAGCTTGCCACAATGTTCACATTTAGAACGTCTTTTTCCCTGTTTGCGAGGGTGAGTCCATCACGATGAGATGTCAACGCAGAAGAACCATTAACAGAATTGAAAATAGTATAAGGAGTGGAGGAAGTCATGAAGGGCGGGAGAACAAACCCTAAAAAATCCAAAGTAATCCAATCAACCCACGAAGCACAGATCCAAAACGAGAAGACCAAAACAAGTCCGTCGAGATTAAACGGCGTAGGAGACAACGAACAACCAACTCCGATAGTGGTGATCTCAACGGCACGGTAGTCGCCTGACCGAGGCAAACAAAACTGTATGTCGTCGGTCAAAAATGAAACTCCGGCGGCGCGACAGTGGTGACAGCGGCGTGAACTAGTACACCAGATAAGGTCCCAGGAAAGAGAGATAAGTCACTAATGGATACGCTTAAATACTAAGTCTTTTCTTGTCAGAACCTTCTTAGACATGCACTTTTACACTATCAAATAATATCCAGTAACAAAAGATAATTCTTTTTTGATGTGGAAGATCAGTTTAACCGGCGGCGGTGGCGGCTCCTGCAGTGGACAAAGGCGAAATTTTTTTTTTTTTTCAAAATAACTTTAAGTTCTAGATACCATGTTGAATAAAAAGGAAATATGGTTTGAGATTAATCTCCCTTGTGTATAAAACACATATAGGGTAATCTATTTATAATAGAGAGAGATACAATTAAAAGAGTAATTGAATGTAAACAGAATAATCAGAAGATATTGTGGTTAACAATATCTAACAATATTTAAACAATATCTAAACAATATCTAATAATAGGTTCTTTTTTCTTTTTTTTTTTCTCCGGAGGATGTCTTTGTGCTCTTTTTATTGTACTATTCAAAAGCTTGGTTCATATAACCTTATATTATATGCTCCAGTTTTATGGGAATGTAAAAATAAAATCAATGTACAGTGTACAGACTACTACATTCAGTATCCTTTCCTAGGCTTCTTGCTTTTGTTCTGTTGATACTTCTGCGAAAATTATGTGTATCTTATTTTTGTTCAGAGTACAGTGTTTTTCAGAATAATCCAAACAAAATCCATCACGGTATCCTTTGCACCATTTACCTTAATAAATTTCTTTCTATGAAAACAGATGTTTCTTTTTCTATCAATAAAATATAAAAGATATGTCTAACTGTTTTAGTTTGTACAACTAAACTGTAAATTGGGGGTTACATTAATAGTTCTATGAAATTGGTCGCTTCATATATATCTTCTTATGCTTGCTCATGTTTTTTGGTTTGTCCTAGGGGATCTGAGTCTATTAGATTGTTGAGCTTACAGTTCATAGGAAGGCTTTTGGTTGACCTGCCAGCTGAGAAAAAGGGATCAAGATTCTTTAACCTCCCAGTGGGAAAACCCAGATCTATTTCAGATAGCCAAAGGAAAATCAGAATGCAATTGATTTTCTCAGCTATATCTGATAGACTGTTCTGCTTTCCACAGACTGACAACCTATGTGCCACTTTATTTGATGTTCTTCTTGGTGGTGCTAGCCCCAAACAGGTAATATGAGATATAGACCTCATTTTCCCGTGTTAGTTCCATGTTTGTTCTTATAGGAGTTGCTAAACAGAATTTCAAGGATTAAATTGTGTGCTTGAGAATTAGTTCAAGTGAATTAAGTTGCCAACAAAGCAACTTGTTATGTTTTGAAAAACTTCTCCGTAAGGAAAATAAGAAGAAAAAATTTCTCCATGGGTTAAAATTAGTCCATGCATGAGCTAATTTGGTGAAGCTATTTCCTATTAACTTCTCCAAAATTTGGTTTTGAAGTATAAACTATTTTTAGCTTATAGAAAAGCTAATTCCATTTTCTTTAGTTTTTCTTGTAGAACTGCTCATTGGAGAAGTTTCTTCCTAACCTTAGTCATTATGATGCTTGTTTATGGTCACTCGCTGGCCATTTCTGATTGAAGTTCTTCTTTACAGGTTTTACAGAGACATAACCACCTGGATAGGGTGAGAAGCAAGGGTAGTCATTTTTTACTCCCTCAAATGTTGCCTCTGATTTTCAGATATCTGTCTGGCTGTAAGGATGCGCCCGCAAGAATGAAAATAATCAGAGATTTACTTGACCTTCTTGATTCAAATGCTTCAAATATTGAAGCTTTTATGGTATGGTTTTTGAAAGGTCCTCTTGATTGTTAACAGTTGAAAAATTGTTTAATTGATAATATTGTTAATAGGAATATGGGTGGAATGCCTGGTTAACATCATCTCTGAAGCTTGATGTGTTAAAAGAGTACGATGCCAAATTACCTGATAAAGGTGACAATGGAATGGATGAGCTGCTCTTGGTGCGGAATTTGTATTCGCTAGTTCTCTGTCACTATTTGCAATCTGTAAAAGGTGGCTGGCAACAGATGGAAGAGACAGTCAATTTCGTTCTTATGCACTTTGAGGAAGTATGTTGACAATCTAACTACACATTTATGTTATTAATTTTAATTTTGCAAGAATGTGCTTATGAAAGTTATTGTAGTCAATTCATGTCAACTACAATTCATGTATTGATTTTGTTTCAAAAAAAATTATTGTAGGGTGGCAATTCATATAGATCTTTTCTTCGTGATATATATGAAGATTTGATTCAGAATCTGGTAGAGCTGTCAGCTTCTGTGGACAATGTTTTCATTTCACAGCCCTGTCGAGACAATACACTATACCTTCTGAGATTGATTGATGAAATGCTGATCTCTGCAATTGATAAAGAACTCCCGGTATTGGGTTTGCTTACAATTTTGCTTTGTTCAAATTATTCATTGTCCTAATAAAATTTGATGTTAGCTTATGTGTGGAGGATGAAATTTCCTTAAGCAAATAATAATAATAATAATAAAAAATGTAGACACAATTGTGACATAATCCCAAAATTATGTATTTTTTGAAACTGCTATTATCTTTCTAGCATACATATGCCAGCAGAAGAATTGTATGGCATGAGAGTTAGGTATTCAACCGAGCAGAATCACAATTGCTCCATCACAAATTGAAATCTTCCATTGCCTTAATCCTTATGCTGCTGTACTAAAAAAATGTTTCTGACAGTGAATAAGGTTTGATGAATGACTCCTAAAATTATCGACGGGTTTTTTTCCAAGTGTTTGAAGCTAAGAAATCAAGTAAAATCAATTTTTCTTCATACTTCATTATCATATTATTCATACAGCTGGAAATGATAATGTGATGTGTTTAATTGTATATAGGTATTATATCATACCTTTATTTCAAAATATAACTAATTAATGTTTTTAGCCCATATAATATGTTTTAGAAGATTTTCTATTTTTTTTCTTGCAGTTTCTTGGAAGTGATTTCGATTTTCATGTTGAATTGGAAATGGAACAACAGAAGGAGTATAGTTCTGCCTTAAAAGAAGTATTGATAGAAGAAGCTGATGTTCAAACTTCTGGGTATGGAAATGCAGAACCCTGCTTCCCTGTGCCATGTGGCACTATTTATGCCATTAAAAAGAGATATTTAGTTGATGCATGATGTAAACTACTTTTATAATTTGATTCTGTTCACTTCCAGAAAATCACAGAATTCTAAGCAGTCAATACCAAATGATGATACAATGGAGGAGAAGTGGTGGAATCTTTATGACAAATTGTGGGTTGTTATCAGCAAGATGAATGGTAAAGGACCCAACAATATGTTAGCCAAAACATCACCATTTGTAGGACCGACTCTTGGTCAAAGGGCACGTGGTTTGGTTGAGTCATTAAACATTCCTGCTGCTGAAGTGGCTGCAGTTGTTGTAGCAGGAGGGATTGGTACTGCTTTGACTGCAAAACCTAACAAAAATGTTGATAAAGCTATGGTCTTACGAGGAGAGAGGTGTCCTAGAATTATTTATCGCCTTGTTATTCTCTATTTGTGTAAATCTTCTCTGGAAAGGGCATCACGGTGTGTCCACCAGTTTATCTCACTTTTGCCTTGCCTTTTAAATGCTGACGATGAGCAAAGCAAAAGTAGGCTGCAACTTATTATCTGGTAACATTTCAACATAATATTTTACATCATGGATCTCCCCCCCTTCTTTCCACATCCACACAATTAAAGTATGTGATTTTTTTCACGGTGGGAAATTCTTCCCTACTGGGCATTTTGACCTCAGGATGAAATATTTCCTGCTGAAATGCCACATGATTTGTTTATGGCCACAAAAATCTATAAAAAGCAGACTCAAATAATTTCGCAAGTTTCATGATTAAATTTTTAGAAATTAACTTTTGGCTTTGATTTTGGTAGGGCACTGCTTTTTGTTAGATTACAGTATGGAACATTGGATGATGGTGTTCGTTTCCATCTTTTATCACATTTGATACGGGAGACAGTCAATATTGGAAAATCAATGCTTGCTACTAGCATTGCGAGCCGAGATGATGCCTTGGATCCTAGCTACAATTTGAAAGATGCAACATCCATTCAAAATTTAATACAAAAGGATCGAGTTCTAACTGCAGTAAGTCTGAAAATAGTTGAATATTTTTACATGTCTATTTTTTTGTATCTTTTTTCTTTCTTTTAGGGTGGGTGAGGGTGGTTCAATATCATTGGTAGAATTTGATCGATGTTGATGATCAGATGTTATTATTTCCAATTATTTTAAATATTTTTTATGTTAATTCTTGAGACATTTCTAACCTATGGGTTCAAAATTAACCCATTGGTTAATGTGAAATTTTTGTCAATTTTTTTAAGACTTAAAAGTAGAAAAGAAGAGAAAGATATGTTTTAGACAGCTTAATCACACCTCTCATATGACCTCTTTATTTATAATGATTGTTAAAATTATTAACCTATGAGTTATATCTATCTCTATACCTAGGTTTCTAGATAAGTTTTTCATCTACTAATTGGATCTATACCTTGTCGTTATAAATAAAGGGATCATATGAGAGGTGTGATTAAGCTCTCTAAAACATATATTTTTCTTCTTTTTTACTTTTAAGTTGGTATTGAAGCAGGTTAATCTCGCTCTGTTGGTTTATTGTCTCTGATGAAAAATTTGTCGTTAGCACCTTTGTTGGCCTCTGTCCGTACGCCGGTCGCTGTTCATGAGCCAGCCACTGTTCCAATTTTTTCTGGTGACCATCAGATTTGGATTGTCTCCTCGCGCGATTACCACCCCTACTAGTCTTGAGCACCTCCATGCGAGTCTTCTCTTTGCGGGTCTTCTCCACAAGTCTCACCATTTGAGCCAACTTCAATGGCATAAACTCATCGATATCCCATTGTTTTCTTCCCATGTGGAAGAGGTCCCAAGTCCCATGGGTGATTTTGGTCAAGAGTTTGCATTTCAATAATCATGGTTTTTCACTATCCGAGGTGATCAAGTGCTTTATTTACATTTTTGAAACAATAATGGAAGACACTGATGATAATAAAAAGGAGACAACGAGTAATAACAAAGAAAGTTAGAAATAGAATGTGGATTAAGAGTAGAACGAATATCTTCTGTTATAGCAATGGGTAGGATTGAAACATCAGGATGAGGAGCCACAATATGAGGAGACGATGGAGAAGGACTAGAAGAGGTCTCACCTTGAAGCGTCGGACAATTCATTTAGTTCCTAAACCCTAAACCCAAAACATACACAATCGAACATTGAGGAGAAATATCAAAGAGAAGATCTTTGGAAAAAACAATAAAATAAGGAATCATATTATTGAGAGAAGAAGATGACATTCTCGTAATAAGAAAATAAGTCGTTAGAACGGCATGACCCCAATGATGGACCGGTAGATTGACACCAATTAATAGAGTACAGGCAGTCTAACAAATGATGGACAGGTAGATTGACACCAATTAAGAAGATGACATTCTTGTAATAAGAAAATAAGTCGTTAGAACGGCATGACCCCAATGATGGACAGGTAGATTGACACCAATTAATAGAGTACAGGAAGTCTAACAAATAGAGTACAGGCAGTCCCATGGGTGATTTTCTTGGGTGATTTTGGTCAAGAGTTTGCATTTCAATAATCATGGTTTTTCACTATCCGAGGTGATCAAGTGCTTTATTCACATTTTTGAAACAATAATGGAAGACACTGATGATAATAAAAAGGAGACAACGAGTAATAACAAAGAAAGTTAGAAATAGAATGTGGATTAAGAGTAGAACGAATATCTTTTGTTATAGCAATGGGTAGGATTGAAACATCATGATGAGGAGCCACAATATGAGGAGACGATGGAGAAGGACTAGAAGAGGTCTCACCTTGAAGCGTCGGACAATTCATTTAGTTCCTAAACCCTAAACTCAAAACATACACAATCGAACATTGAGGAGAAATATCAAAGAGAAGATCTTTGGAAAAAACAATAAAATAAGGAATCATATTATTGAGAGAAGAAGATGACATTCTCGTAATAAGAAAATAAGTCGTTAGAACGGCATGACCCAAATGATGGACAGGTAGATTGACACCAATTAACAATACCATTTTGTTGAGGGGTGTGAGGACATATGAACTGGTGTAAAATTCCATGCGAATTTAAAACTATAGAGAAATGAGATGAGAAATATTCTTTAACATTGTCATTTCTTAAGATTTTAATTACTAGACCAAATTGATTTTTGATTTCATTCAAAAAGGATATAAAGATAGACAACAATTTTGAACAATCTTTCATGAGATAAATCCACCTATATTTGGAATATTCATCAATGAGTGTAACAAAGTATCTGAAACCAAAAGATGAGACACGACTGGGTCCCCAAGTATCATAATGAATAATAGAAGAAGCATAATTACATCTTGATTCGAATTTTTTCGAAAAAGATGATCTAACGTGTTTACCTAATTGGCATGTCTCACTTTCCAAAGATCAAAGACTATTATGTTCAAGAACCAATTTTTTTAGTTTTGACAAATTAGGATGCCCCAAATAATCATATAATAGTTTGGGGTATTGAGATGCAAAATAGGATATAGGTGGACTAGCTCCAAAATAGTATAAACCTGTAGATTTATGTCCTTCTTCAATTAGTCGTCCCGTACCATGTTCCTGTACAACAAAAGAATGGACATCGAAGGTTATTAAACAATTTAAAAACTTGGTTAATTGGCTTAATGAAATAAAATTAAAAGGACAAGAAGGAACAAACAAATTTTAAATATAAAGACGGTGTGAAAGGGAAACTTGACCCACTCCCTTGGAAAGAGCTTTAGAACCATTGGCTAAAGGTAATGAAATGAGGATTCTTGGAAAAGAGAAAGGATGAGAACAGGGATGCATTATTAGAAATGTGATCAGAAACACTTAAGTCTTCATTGTACAAATTGTGAAATGCAAATTGTTGATAGATTGGAACTTTAATGATTGTGCTAAGTTATTGGATTTCAATCTCAGATATTTCTGATACTCTTCATCAGAGAACTTGGGCTCAACAGCTTCAACCTTAAAGATATTGACTATTTTATAGGAAAGTCATACAATGCAAAACAATTATTTTGTACATGACCCATTTTCTTATAGTATGCACATTGAGAACATCCTCGACCACCCTTTCCTCCTCTAATATTACATCCTCATCTTCCACGAGTAGAGATCATGACAGAGGATTCCATAGGTTCTTGAATGTTCCTGTTTTGAATTGAGAGAACCCGAAGAAGTCTGGTTGTCAAGTTATCCATGGAGGGGACCTCTTGTTCTGGTAAAAGTTGATCTCTAACATATTCAAAGTTAGATGTATGACATGAAGGATCATTACCATATAGAATTTATTCAGTTTCTTCTTTATTTCTTCTAATGAATCATCCTTCAGGAACATCTTTAGTTCTTTATCAGTAGATTGAGCTTCACTCATGAAGGTTATCATTTCATGATCTGACTGGTTAAGAGAAGCAAGCCGATTAGCAAAATCATGGAGGCGCTGAATATTATTTGCAAAAACATTTTGAGCCTTTTTCCAAAATGAGTTGCATGTTTTAAATGCTCTAGTAAGAGTACCTAGTAATTTTGGTTCTACCAACTGTAAGGCACATAACTGAAAGTCAATTTGTTTCCATTTTTCAGCTTTATCATGTGGTACAAGACTCCCATCTTTTTCAAGGTGATCATGGATACCTTGGTCAAAGAGCCACATTTCAATTGAGGTAGACCAAGAGAGATAATTTTTCTCATTTAGTTTTTCAGATGTAATGGAAGGAGTATCAGAGAAGGACACAATGGGTCCAAAGGACATTTTGTTGGACGCAACTGAGAATGAGAAAATCTTCAAATGGGGAAAGAAACTAACATGGGTTACTTTTAAGTATTATAATCTCAAGAGAAAGATGAGAAAAACTCAGATCAGTGGTGCTCCTTTCTTGAAACCTAGGTAGAGTCTACTGAATTGGCCACAAATAGGTTAGTTATGGGGGATGGTGATAGTTGCAGAGTTAGAAGCTAATGCTAGCCCAGAGAAGGGTATTGAAGAACATAAAGCATGCAACTAGGTGCCAACCAAGAACCCAGGACGAGACAAGGACCAGATAGTTTGGTGAAGGGAGGACAGTGTGTGGACCACACGCGCAGAGAAAACCCATGTGGGAAGACGAGCATGGAGGCACGTGCTTGAGAATCTCCAGGACCGCAAGGGTGGTTGTCACTCAAGGAGACTATCCAAATCTGATGGTCACCAAAGAACACTAAACCGGTGGTTGGGCTATAGACAGTGGTCGGTGAAGATGACAATGATGGACTTTTCACCGGAGGATACTATAGACCAGTAAAGTGGGTTAATCCTATTCTAGTACCTATTTAAAAGTGAGAAAGAAGAGAAATATATATTTTAGAGGGCTTAATCACACCTCTCATATGACCACTTTATTTATAATGATAAGATGGATTGACTAAATTCTGAGTTAGAAGCCTAGGTACAGTGATAGATTTATAAAATGTGTTCATACTTGTTAATATACTGATCAATTTAATTTTTATGCCCATACTTTGTTTCCATTCAATCATGGAGGCATCTTCAATATGATCGATATTATTATATGCTTTCTCTATGATTAATTAATTTTTTGTTGTTTGAGGATTGTGTTTTTATCTGATGCCTTTCACTTTTCAGGTGACCGATGAGGCTAAATATATTCAGACGTGTCAAATGGACCGCACCCAGCAGATACAGGAACTTCGTTCTAGAGTAGATGAAAGCTCCTCAGTAGAATCTACTAGTAAAAAAGCTTTTGAAGATGATATACAAAGCAGCTTGAACGCTATTCTTGCTTCAGATGATAGCAGAATAGCTGAATTCCAGCTTACTTCTGAGGAAAAGCAGCAAAATGTTGCTGTAAGCATAACAATCTTTATTGTACATTTATGTATTTGTTAACACTGGTTTTTCCTTATAAAAGTGCTAAATTTATAAGAATTGTTAAAAACTAGGGTTGCTTTCTTACAGGAAAAATGGATACACATGTTTCGTTCTTTAATTGATGAGAGGGGTCCATGGTCTGCGAAACCTTTTCCAAATTGTGTTGTAACACACTGGAAACTTGATAAGATCGAAGACACATGGCGACGCAGGCCAAAATTAAGGCAAAATTACCATTTTGACGAAAATCTTTGTAGTCCTCTTTCTGCCATTGGTAGTGGAGTTGCTACTCCTATTAATGACAGTAATCATGGTTTTGTGGGTAATATACCTGACCAAATGAAGCAGATCTTACTAAAAGGGATAAGAAAAATAACTGATGAGGGAACTTTGGACACAAGTGAAACCAATTCTGAAATAAGTGGACAGAAGACACAAACTCCTGGTGATCATTCAGACTGCCAATCCTCGGACTTACTGAAAGATGTGAGCGACAGAAAGGATATTGCACAAGAACGAAAAGATACTTCCTCTTCCACTGAAACAGAAGCTAGTGAGGTATGTTCAATGAAGGAATATGGTATCTTTGTATTGAAAGGAAGTCTAAAACTGTTTTGCTGATTACATGGCGAATTTCAATTTTCAGGTGCTTGTTTCTGTCCCATGCGTTCTTGTGACCCCAAAGAGAAAATTAGCTGGTCATTTGGCTGTGATGAAAAATGTTTTACATTTCTTTGCTCAATTCTTGGTAGAGGGTACTGGTGGGTCATCCGTTTTTGGAAACTTTGATACCTCTATTAATTCTGATCTCACCATGTCCGATGTAAAACGAAGATCATTTAAGTGGCCTGTTTCTGGTATGGATCTTCAAAAGGACACAGCAGTTGGTCAGGTAGAGCTAATAAATGGAAATGGATCTACTAAACTTTTGAGTTGTGTTAAACGCCATCGAAGATGGAGTGTGGCCAAGGTTAGTTTGCTGGTTTCATTTTCTTTATGTATTCTTTTGCACTAAACTGATTGAAAATTGATATCCTTTTCTCTTTCTTTCCTTTTGGATGATTCTTTCTCTGATTTATCATTTTAGATAAAAGCTGTTCATTGGACGCGGTATTTGCTCAGATATACTGCAATAGAGATTTTCTTTAGTGATTCGGTTGCCCCAGTATTTTTAAACTTTGCATCGCTTAAGGATGCAAAAGATATAGGAAACTTGATAGTTACTACAAGAAATGAGTATTCATTTCCCAAAGGAAGTGGAAGGGATAAGAGTGGATCTATTAGTTTTGTTGATCGGCGAGTGGCACAGGAAATGGCAGAGACTGCCAGAGAAAACTGGAGGAGGAGGGATATCACGAACTTTGAGTATTTAATGATTCTCAATACACTTGCTGGAAGATCTTATAATGATTTGACCCAGTATCCTGTTTTTCCTTGGGTCTTGGCAGACCACTCGTCAGAGGTTCTTGATTTTAACAAATCATCTACTTTTCGAGATCTCTCGAAGCCTGTTGGAGCGCTTGATACTAAACGATTTGAGGTTAGTGTTTTATTATTATGATTATTATTATTGTTGTTTAAAATATGAATCAGTTCAGTCTACTTTTATTATTATTATCATTCTTTGTAAATGCTTCTTACATTTAGGTGTTTGAAGATAGATACCGTAACTTCTGTGATCCTGATATACCCAGGTAATTGGTTAGTTTTGGTCTACGATTTGTAGTGATTCTTTATTTATTACATATATAGATAGATAGATAACTTTGTGTTGGTGTTTATCTATTGATGCAGTTTCTACTATGGATCTCATTACTCAAGTATGGGAATTGTGCTTTATTACCTTCTTAGATTAGAGCCCTTTACATCGCTTCACCGTAACCTTCAGGTATAACAACTAACAACATATTTTAAAAATTTATTACCTAATTTCTTTCTACTTTTAGTCTAGCAGAAATTCCTTGCAATAAATGTACCACAGTTTTTTTAAGGGTAAAATGGAAACTGTTTTCTTTACCCCTTTTTTCTAGAAAATAATTATATAAAAGATAATAATAGTTGAAATTATAATGTTTGGGTGGGTAACAATAAATGATATAGTATATATTATGATGTGATTTATTCTATGATTTTAGTTTGGTAATGGACTCCTTTTTTTAATATAATAAGAAAACAAATAACTTTCTACTAGGTAAAAATTATGGTTTAATGCATGTTTCAATTATAGTTTGAAATCATGGTTTGACCCAAAGGAAAAACAACTTCTTTCCACTTTCAGTCAAACAATGGCATTAGATCCAATGTTATGTTCAAACACCATACATATTTTGTCGGACATGTTATTTGTTAATAAAACTAAGTTTGCACACCTCAACCCATGGACTTGGGGTGTGCAAATGCAAACTAGTATCCAAACATGCTGTAAATGCTTAGTACTTCAATCATTTCTGTAGTTTAGGAGAAAAAATTATTTTTCATAGACATTGATTAATAGAGTTACAAGGAAGTTATAAATTGGATGAATTGGTTATAGATTCTCTAGCCATTTTTTTTTTACACGAGCATCACTATAAAACATTCAATCCCAACTAGGACGACACCTTATGTTATATTAATCATTTGCAGCAAACCCAAATAGCATAAAAATAAAGAAAAGAAATACAAAAGAGTATGAGACTGTACCAAAACCTACTCAAGAAACAAATGTCCTGTAAGGTTGTGAAAACTTGTTTTCCTGAAGAAATCAAACCTACTATTACATCTTTCTTTTACACCAAAGCATGCAAGCTTATCAACACAATGATTCTCTTCCCTATAAATACGAGAAACATGAAATCTCATTATCATAAACAATATCAACTGCATGAATAGCTCCTATAATGTCAGCATGAATGGAACAGTAGTTGCTTTGTCTCAAAAATACCCTGTTGCCAATCCCTGTGTACCTTTGGTTGCTCCATCTATATTAGATTTTAGCCAATAACAATGAGGAGGCTTCCACAAAGTAGGAATAATCACAGGGGCAAAATTAGGCTTAATATCAATGTTAAAATACTTTAGAATACAAAATTCATACACATTATATTTCATAGTATAATTGCATAAACTATCAATCAGATTTACCTCAGAATAAATCCTAATTTTAATCCTTAAATAAGAATATGTTTACTATCAAACCTAATTCGATTTGACAAACCTCAAATTTACTTTTCATGATGCATGGTGATGTGACATGAATATAATTGTCAATAAAAGTAAGAAACCATTTTGTTCCAGAAATAGATTCCAAGACAGGTTCCCAAATGTGATAGTGAATTAAATCAAATGGGGAATTACTTTTTAACTGATGGGATAAGATGCATAGTGTTGTTTTGACAATTGATAAATATAACAATTCAATGACCCAACATACTCTTTGGTAAACAAATGAGACTACAAGGATTTGTGTAGGATGAATGGAAAAGATACAACCCACTTTTCTCTTTAGCAACGATTTTCATCCTCCTCATGACAGTCTTGAAAAACACAAAAAGAAGAGAAAAATGTCACTGAGCATTTCAATTCTTTTCTATGTTTTTTTATATAAATAAGACTATTAGACAATTGTGGGACATGTAAAACATCCTTTAATGAGTTGTATTTCCGGATCCACTTATGGACACACTACAACCATTCGTAACTATAATGAGTTATTCTCTTGTCTTTTGAGAAATGAATTGAGCCATGTGATTTATTGCTCCTGAATCAAGACTTCAAACACCATGAGACATAGGGCCAACAATATTGAATGAACTCTTACATATCTTGGATAGGGTGCATGATCCACAGGGTGCGCCAAAATAGAACTTTCAAGATGTGGAGCTCTAATATCAACTTGAATTATGTAAAGAAACAAGAAATACTTTAATTGATAATAATCACATCAATTACATTGTCAGATTCCTCTTATTTAATAACCAATCTCTCTAAAATAAGAAAATAAAATATGCTAAGATAAATAAGAAGATTCTGAAGATATTTTTCCCTAATTAATATGGAGATCCGGAAGGTATTTTTATACTATTAAACTGCTTGCAACAATTAGGCAGCTCAATCCTTGGCTTGTTGGGGAAATTAATCAGATTGCTATTACTTCCTTCCCTGCAACTGATAGCTTAAGATGGAGGCGTAGTTTGGATGGAGTGTTAAATATCAAAGAGGCGCATAAGTCTTTAGATCATCCTGGAACTTGGCAGATTGGTCCAGATTTATATGGAGTCCATTTACTTCCCCTTCTCAATCTTTTGTGGAATGGAGAATTTTGCATAATAAATTGCCAGCAGAGGAAAACCTCAAACAGAGAGGATGCATTATATCTAGGTGTTCTCTTTGTGCAATGCATGAAGAGAGTACGGTCACTAGTTTTTCATAAAGCAGATAAAGACAGGAGGTGGATAATGAAATCATTGACCCATTTAACAGGACTTGGAGGAAGCAAGCCAGGACAGTTTAGCTGCAGCTGTTACTAGCATATTATAAAAATATTGGAAGCAATGGAATGGAATATATTTTTATAATAGGCAACTGAATTTTCCAAGGATGAGGAACATAATATTTGCAGCAGTAAACCTTGCAGGTGTGTTCTGATTCAATGTTCTCAAATATTGAGGAATTCATTATTCTGAATCCTTTGGAGTTTCAGTTCATCCAAGAAACCTGAGAGAATTCTACAAGTTAAGTGGTACGCTCCTCAAATTAACTGGCTCAAGGCTAAGTGGTACACCCCTGGGCCAACATCATGTGGTGGTATCTTTGGAGATGAAAGTGCTGCTTTCGCAGGATGTTTCACTGTACATCTTGCATACAGGAGGAATTCTATGCAGTGGCAATGGGAATGATCTGGACTTTGGAAATAGTTTCCAGAAAAGGATGGATTAACATGTGGTTTGAATGTGACTCTTCTCTTGCTGTCTAAGCTTTTAAAAATGTTTTGTATTGTGCCAAGCATGGAGGTTTAGGAATAGTTAAATAGCTTAGAAGAAGCTTTTAAAAGCAAGAATTTAATCTTATCACATATATTTAGGGAAGGAAATGAATTTTCTGACAGATTGGCTAATCATGGGATAAGTATACAGGGAGATTATTGGTGGGAGAGGCTTCTGGACATTGTTAAACCTTGCTTCTTTAAGGGTAGGTCCCAATTGCATAGTTATAGGTTTGTTGCTGAGCTAGTGGGTAAGCTTTGGTTCCCCCACTTTTTCATTTATTTTCTTTATGTTTAATGATTATATGATGTGCTGCAAATGATTGTCACCGATTGGGTGTCATCCTAGATGGGATTGCAATCTGGGCTGTGATGCTTTTTCTCATCAGGGTGCCATCGCCATCATAGATGGCATTGCAATCTGAGTTGACATGCTTTTGCACATCTAGTTTTATTGGAAACAAAAGATAATTCCTATGCAAGTTTCCTAGATTGTAATTATCATTCATCATCTTCTAAATCCAAATCTTCTCTATCATTTTCACTATTATTACTTCTATTGATTTCTATTTTGAAATTAAAATCCCAACTATCACCCTGCAACAAAGCCCTAATATCTCCGAGGTACCTTTTAGAATGAACACATAGCAATGCCATGGTGCCCACAATTGCCACTATTCAGCCTGCCATTTGGTCTGAAATGGCGGTCACATCTAAACTGCTACAAAAGCCCTTGCAGTGCACAGCATCTGCACTGCACCGGAATAGGGTGCTGTAGTGCACAATGGCTATTTCGTATTTCAAACAGTGCTACTACTGTGTTCTATTGTTTTTATTATCAGTAATGTATTATATATTATATTATTGTAAAGCTGTAAAGTATTTTATAAAATGTAGAGAAAACATTAAGTCATAATTATATAATACTATATTTTATAGATAAATATATAGCATGTAATTATGTATAAAAATATTTAAGCAGAGTATTATAAACAAAAAATACAATAGTAAATATAATTAACATAAGAAGAGAGACATATATAACAACAACAACAATAATAACTAGTAATAGAATATATGTATATACAAGTAATAACAATAATACACATATATATATATATATATATATATATATATGTATGTATGTATTAAAAAAAAGCTAAGTTGCATATTTTGTCATTCTTATAGAAATTTAATGGATCATTAAAATTTGTAAAAATTTAAAGTTTATGATAATATGTGCGAAAACCGGAAAATTTTGCAAAATGATGATAATTGAGTGGTAAAATGTGTAATCAAGTCTAAACAAATTAAAATAGCAGTGGTTCCACCATTGCAATTGCTATTTTGGGTGAGCTCTGTTATTTGAGATTTAACATTGCTATGTAGGTAGGTTATTGGCCTTTTGTATAATCTGAAATTGGATACATAAACATTTGTATGCCGCCCTTTAAATATGTGTCTTCTGTTTTCATGGTACTTAGGTATGGCAGCCAAGAGCTACCTTCTTGGTGTTCTATTGTTCATTGCTTTGTTTGTTTTTCTCTCTTGTGCTTTTCCGGTATTTACTGCACATCATGATTTATTTCTTTTATGCTTTTCCTTTGTTGTTGTCAGGGTGGTAAATTTGATCATGCTGACCGTCTTTTTCAAAGCATTGAGAGCACCTACAGAAATTGCCTTACAAATACTAGTGACGTGAAGGAGTTAATACCTGAGTTTTTTTACATGCCCGAGTTTCTTGTCAACTCAAACTCTTATCATCTAGGAGTTAAACAGGATGGTGAACCTATTGGGGATGTTGGCCTGCCTCCCTGGGCTAAGGTAGATATATTTATCAAAACCAACTATATGCAAAGCAATATGTCTGTTTCTCTAAACTTTTCTAACGAAAAAGGTACTTTATTTTAATAAAATAATCACTTATTATCAAATTTTACATCTTCGTGTAAACTAAGCAGAAGCAGAAAAAATACAAAAAAACTTCTTTTGAGAAGCAACTCCAAGCAGTTTTATGCTTATTTTCTACTTCAGCTTTTTTACAATCACATTTCTTTTAAGCACAAACAAACAGACCCAATGTAGCTTACTCAAGCACTGCTAGCAGCATAGTTAAATATATGATCTTTTACGGCACCATCTTACCTGAGATTGAAACATCTTACCTGTATTATTTGTTTTAGTTTACATTATCAATATTTGCAAAAATTCCAGTTATTTATACCGTAAACCCTAATTCTACAAATGCAATTGAAACTGCATTAGCATATACTGTGAGCTTGCACAAAGAAATTTGAGATGATTAATCCTGTCATATCTTGTGATGAAAATGATTTAAAAGTGATATAAAAACATATTCGAAATTCATACTTTTAAAGATTATAGAAATCCTAACTACACAAAAAGGGAAAAAATAGATATGACCATCTTTTTATGTACAGTAAGAGAGGCACTCCTTTAAAAGCTTACCTCTCCTTAGAGCACTTTACAATTAATCAACCAGAAGTCCTTCAATAAAGAAAACTTAAAATTTGACTCTCTGAAAAACAATGTGCATTACACTATCCCAGCTATGGGAAAATGTTGGAATTTGTGTCTTAGATTAGAACCATTACAGCAATAACATGGGTATCATGTGAAACAGCTTAATGAAACCGTCACATATGTAACAAATAAAGAACATTTATCCCTTTTTATTCACGACAGACCAAAGAAAAGATAGAAAAATAGGAAAAGGAAAACTACTTTCTCAGGTATATTTACTAGTGTCGTTGAGAAGGTCATAGCTAAAATAATTACACATCAATCAGGAACAGAGTAATCCATTAAATAGTTTAATGATATCATCTAGCTAGAAGCCAGGTGTCAAAAATTATTTGCCACTTTTTCTGATGTCTTTTTTAAGTTCTTCTATTAAATATGGGCATTTTACTGTTTTTGAGTTGATGGAGTGCTTTGTAATTTTCATGAAAAGCAGCAGCATTTCAGTTGAATTTTTTGTGTGGTTACTGTGCATGTTTCCAAAGGTTATGATCTAGTTTAATATAAAATATAAAACTATAGTACAGCTTTTAGTGCAATGTCTTGAAAAATGTGCTTTATCAGATTGAGCTATGCCTTTCAATTTTAAATCATCATTAAAACAAGTTCAACTTAAAACATGTAAGGTGAGGATGTCAAGATGATAATAACACCAACTACAATGATAAAAATAATAGTATACATTTTGGTCCTGTAAGCTTGTTACTTATGATGCCTTTTATTTCTGAATGTTGTCTTTACAAAGTAGTCCCCGAAGTTGTCAAACTTTCTAAATAGGTTTACCACACTGGAGTTGTCAACTTCCTAACGAATCATTACGTTGGGACAGATTTGGATATATGGTATTTAGGTCGGAGCTAGAGTAACACATATAACATCTTTTGGACACCAAATTGTATATCTACTGCATAAGATGCTCTATATTTTAATCTTTTTTTCTTTTATTCTCTTTCCACACTGCAAGATGAAGCTATCATGAACCCTGTTTAATGCATGTGTCTGTTACAGTATCTTTACAATTTTCAAATATTTACATGAAATATGACACATCAAGTCACACATTCTTTCAGTAACTATTTCTAATTCACTGAATAGAAAGGACTTGAAGAATTCTAATATTTGAGCAGGGTTCACCTGAAGAGTTCATTAGGAGAAACCGGGAGGCCCTTGAAAGTGAATATGTTAGCTCAAATCTTCATCACTGGATAGATTTGGTATTTGGTTACAAGCAACGTGGAAAACCTGCTGTAGAGGTATATCAAGATCATTTTTTTTCCAATAGCAATTCATGTAAACTAGAGTTGGAAAAACTAAAAGTTCAGGTTAGATGCGCTGTTAAAATTTTTACATTGAATTATAGGCAGCGAACATCTTCTACTATTTGACTTATGAAGGTGCTGTTGATCTGGAAACAATGGAAGATGATTTACAAAGAGCAGCTATTGAAGACCAGATAGCCAACTTTGGTCAGACTCCAATTCAGATATTTCGTAAGAAGCACCCAAGAAGAGGGCCGCCTATTCCAATTGCACATCCTCTATACTTTGCTCCTGATTCAATCAGTTTGACTTCCATTGTTTGTAATGCAAGTCAATATTCATCTGCTATACTGTATGTTGGTCTGATGGACTCAAATATTGTCCTTGTGAACGAGGGTCTCAACTTGTCTGTTAAGATGTGGTTGACAACTCAACTACAGTCTGGTGGAAATTTTACATTTTCTGGTTCCCAGGTTAGGCTTGGTTTCATCAGACACTGAAAAAATTGGAATTATTATGTGGTGTGTTTTGATTAGAATTATGTTGGATTTCAAGAGTAATGAAACAATCCGTAACTTTCAGCAGGATCCATTCTTTGGAGTTGGATCTGACATACTTTCTCCACGCAAAATTGGGATTCCTGTGCCTGAAAATGTTGAACTTGGAGCTCAATGTTTTGCAACAATGCAGACACCCTCTGAGAATTTCTTAATATCATGTGGCAACTGGGAAAACAGTTTTCAGGTCATATCATTAACTGATGGCAGAATGGTACAAAGTATCCGACAGCACAAGGATGTGGTGAGCTGTGTTGCAGGTATGTTTAATGGTTGAGAAAGAATTCCTATTGTGGTTACATAATTAGCATTGATGTCTTGCACCAGGACAAGGACAACTCTGTAAATATAGGCAATTCTAAATCACTTGTTATTCTAATACTGACTGGGCAAGATGACTGTTAGATAGGAGATACAGTTATAGGTGTTGGGTTCTTATTGAAGGATATATGATTTCATGAAGGAGCAGAAAACATAACATAGCTGCTAGATACAGTGCTGAAATTAAATATTGTGTTATATCAATAGATGCATGCAAGATTGAATGGCTTAGGTAATTACTTCAACAACTAAAATTGATTCATAATATGAAATCTAGCTACCCTTTACATTGCAACATATTCGGTCTCCACTAATATGCCCAACAAATAGAGATATGTCGTTACATTGTAAGAGAGAAAATGCTTTTTAGGGGAGATTATAGCTAACTTTGTCAACTCTAGTGACTAGTTGGTTGGCATGAAATTCCTTAGAGGCTTTCACATTCACATTGACTACATTTATAAAATTTATTCAGATGACCTATGCTCAAGGTTGAGATAGGTTGTCATTTTGAAAGAGAGAAATTGCTTTTTGGGGGAAATCATAACTAACTGTGTCAACTCTAGTGACTAATTGACCAGCAAGAAATCATAACTTAATAGTGTTTGTGGTCCTTGAAATATTTTCAGAATTTCTTTTTGGTCCTTGAAAAAAAAAATTATCATATTTTTCATCGGATGGGGTCATGGGAAGTTAACATAACCAATGTAACAACAAAGATGAACGATAAAATAAGAAAAAGTTGAGAAAATTTTATTATGAATCTAAAGAAAAGTTCAAATAGATGTCAAGGATCAAAAACATATATTTAAGCCAGTACAAATATACAGAAAGGGGTTATTGGTTTCACCTTTTTAATGGCTTTGGAACACGTCTAAAATTTATATATATTAGTCAATATCAATTTCAGAATCGTCTATCACTTCATCTTATTCTAGTATGTTTGTTTTGTGTATTTGACGGTTGCTACTGGTACTTATTATTTGTTTCATAGATATAGATGTCTGATTTGACAACTTTAAGTGAACTTTTCGTTAACATGTAGTATTGCATTGTGTAACCTTCTGTGCTGCAGTTACATCTGATGGAAGTGTCCTTGCGACTGGAAGTTATGATACGACAGTAATGGTTTGGGAAGTTTTTCGTGGTAAAACCACAGAGAAGAGAAATCGAAACAGTCAATCTGAGTTACCCCGCAAGAATTATGTCATAGTTGAAACTCCATGCCACATCCTTTGTGGACATGATGATATAATAACTTGCTTACATGTCAATCATGAACTTGATATTATAATTAGTGGATCAAAAGATGGCACTTGTGTATTCCACACCCTGCGAGAAGGTAGATATGTTAGATCCTTGCGCCATCCATCAGGCAGTCCAATAACTAAGCTAGTTGTCTCTCAACGGGGCCAGATTGTGATTTATGCTGACGATGATCTTAGTTTGCACCTGTATTCAATCAATGGAAAATATCTTGCTTCCTCTGAATCTAATGGACGCCTTAATGCAGTTCAACTGAGCAGATGTGGTGAGTTTTTGGTAGGTTCAGGTGACCAGGGGCAAATTGTTGTTCGCTCTATGAGCACCCTTGAAGTTGTTAAGAAATATCAAGGAGTTGGAAAGGTTATGACATCTCTGGCAGTAACCCCAGAAGAATGCTTCTTAGCTGGCACAAAAGATGGAAGCCTCCTAGTGTATTCGATTGAAAATCCTCAGATTCGTAAAACTAGCCATAACAAGAATATAAAACCAAAACTGAATTAACAGAGAATATAAAAATAGGATGCAGGATTGGGCATTTGTGATCTTGACAGTTACAGCTGACCCATGACGACTGTTTCAGGTACAACAGTGTCAATTTTATAACTGTTTAGTTCCTTTTTTCCTTTCCCCAATACTTGGGATTTGTTCTTTCTTTTTTTTTCGTTCAGCAATGGTTAATTGTTAGTATGGTAGTTTTTGTTAGCAGGGATTCAATCCCACGACCTATGCCACTTCCCACCATTCCCTTGCCATCAAGCCAACCTTATAACCGTACTTGGGATCCGTTCTTGACTGCAGTATCTATGAATCAAATAAAAATTCTGATAACTACTTCCCAATCACTTAAGTTATCCATCGTTGACAATGTTTATACCCCGTTTTTCTGTATTGCAATTACTGTCATGTCATGTCATGTCATTCATTCATTGCCAGTGATTTCTTCAGTGATGTGACTACTGTTTTACAAATATACATTTCTGCTGCTACTAATCTCAGTGGTATCTTAATAGCATTTGACTTCTAAATAATCAATTTCAATTTCACATTAACCATGTAAGAAACTATTTAACAACTGAATTATTGGAAGTGATCATTGATTGATTATACGTTATAATTAGTCCATGCAAATTTTGTCTGAAATTGTAATTAAACTAGAAAAATCAGAAGTAACACCCATTCTACTTGTAATGAATGTATCTCTTTTTTGAAATTATCGTTCTCTAGAGTCTTAATAATGTTAACTTATCTCTTGAAATCAGCTTGCTGTTCAAAACCTGAGTCATTCTTTCGTTTGTTCACATCCATTTTTCTCTATGTTAACCTGTATATATATGAATAATCCAAAGTGTTTGATTATTGTTCGTAGCAAGTAACTATGATGTTTCTCATGTGGATCTAATTTCGTACATGAATTCCCTACCCCCTCCCCTATTTTACAGGTTTTGCCGGTGCACCAACTGACAAGTGACATCATATTTGGGATTATGCTAAATTGCTAATAATCACTTAGATGGTGCTCTTGAAATTTTCTTCCTGTTTGTTTGTTTTGTCATTCCCAAGAAATGCTTGTGGTTCTGTGAAATAAGTGAGTACCGGCTTTACCTGAACATAGAAAGCATATCTACTTCTTCACACTGTGGAATAGAAGAACTGAGTGAATTATCATCTACTTTCTAAACCCCGAGATGTAATTAGATTCCTAAAACCGGTTTTTCCTTCTTTGGATTCTATAGGAAGGTAAAAACTTGGGGGTTTGTCCATACATGTACATTATATTGGTTAATTCGTCAATAGGATTACTAGGATTCTTGTGCACTAAATCTTTAGCTGTGCTATTATTTTTGGGTTTCTCTATTGACACATGGATTGTACAGACAGGCCTGAATGCCTTATCATACAGGCGAAAGATAAACTCTCCGCCGGTGTCTTGTATCTCTGCTGATATTGATATTGCTCACTTAAGGACTGTGAAATGAAATGAAATTTAAGGATAATACCATACCAAGAACAACTGACTGAAAATATTTATCACTCGTAAAACAGAATTTCTAGTTGCTTTTACTTGAAATAATCTTTCTTCTGCATTGACTTTTCTGCTTCTTTCACACCGTTACCTAGGGGTGTCAATATGGGTTCTAACCCGTGAGCCAACCCGGTTCACCACGGGTTCAAGCCGGGTTGGGTTGGATTTTTTTTTATTTCTACCGATTATGGGTTAAAAATGAACTCGGTTCACTTAACCCACGGGTTAAACGGGTTCGAGCCGGGTTATGGTGGGTTGGTCCGCAACCCACCATTAATTTTAAATTTTAAAAATAATTATAATATATATTAACCTTAATTAATAATTATATTTTAAATTTTAAAAATAATTATAATACTTCAGTAATCCTAAATGTTATCATGTCTTATCTTTATCCTATATTGTCGCTGCTGCCACAACAAGTCAAATCCTATCATCAACACTATGTTTGTCGCTGCACTATCTTATCATATGTTCATCTTCATCGTATCACTACATCACCGTACCCACTCGTAGTATCTATACATTATTTGTTGTTTGTTATTGATTTATACGTATATCTCTTTAATATATGCATTTTTGACTTCTTTCTTTCAAATTAATTTACGAGTATGGAATCGAAACAATGCATCGAAGTGTCAATGTGAATTGTGTCGGTGATGATTTTATTGTTAATGAAAAACCCAATGAGCCAATTTCAGTTAATAATGAAGATACTGATGTTGAGAAAAAAGGAAAAAAGCAAAAGTTTCTACATCCGAAGTTTGGAAATATATATATATATATATATATATATATATATTATATTTATATTATTTAAAAAAATATGGGTTAGTGAGACAACCCACCTAACCCACCAACCCGTGGTGGGTTGAGCCGGGTTGTAAAATTTCTGGCTCACCAAAAAGTGAGCCGGGTTGAACTCATCTATTTTCAGCTCAATCCGTGGTGAGCCAACCCGTGTGAGTCAAACCGTGTGAGCCGGGTTGGCTCACTTTGACACCCTTACCGTTACCTACCACCCCTACCTATGGGTATTTTACCTTTTTTTGTCCAATTCTTTTTATGATAACAGACTTATTAAATAAATTAAAAAAAATGATTCATTATATACATGTCCAGGCGTCGAAATAGAACGTGATAAAAAATTGTGTAATCTTTGTTACTAGGTGCGCAAATAAAAATAATTAAATGTAGATATTTTTAAAATATGTTTTGGTTTTTTTATATAAATTATTTAATAGCTGAAAATATTCGGATGTCTTTGAGATATATTAATAATTATTTTCGATATGAAAAAAATCAAGTTGAAGATTGTAGATACACTAGTTATTCTTTGTGGGATGAATAATACGAATACAGATTAGGGTTTACAATAACATGACTTTATGAATAAAGTCGAAAAGGACTAAAACAGTTATATTCAAATCATTAACGATTAATTTTAAAAAGACAACCAAAGAATTTAGCATGATTTGTAACAAAATATGATATTTGTATAAGAAAACAATAAATTAATGAAAATTTTACAAAAATATTTAATTATTTAAAATTGTATAATTTCTAATTTAGATTAAAAAAGAATATAATATTTTTTATTTAAGTTATGAAAGAGGTGGTAAATATATGTTAGAAAAAAGGTTTTGTAAGAAATTGAAAATAAAAGTAATGCTTTTTAATGAGAGAAAATCCTTTAATTAATGGAGAAAAATCCTTTAAATAATGGTGAATAATAAATTGTGAATTAATTAAGAAGTCATGTTTGTTTATATAACAAAGAGTTTACGTATTTATTATAGCATTGGTTCAATTATAGTACATTGTAGGAAAAAAATTACTTTTTGAACATATTTTAATTCAATCAAATTAATATAGTATTAACTTGAAATAATGAATACAAATATATATATATATATATATATATATATATATATATATATATATATAATATGTCTTTATATGATATTGTTGATGAGATAACATTTTTTATTATAAGAAATTTTCATGTGGGTTCTTAAAAGATTTAGAAAATTTTATTTAAGAGTTTATTTGTTTCCTCAAATATTAGTAATTGATAGGGATGTAGTGTTATTTTTACTATATTAACTCTACAAAATCAGATAGTAACTTCTTGTTTGTTGCGTCATAGTTAATTGTCAATTTATGTCTTAATATAGAATCAATCCATATTATAGATCCTTCAAATTATTCCTATTGTACATAAGAACTTATTATGATTTTATAACATAAACATTTTTATGATAAGTAATATCATATTAATTTTGTCCAATGTAAAAATATATCATGTCAATTAACTCATCACTTTGTCTTACAAATTTTGAGTTAAATGATTTTTATACTTATGAAGGTGTGTCCATAGATTCTAAAAAAATTATCAACTAAATTTTCTCATCTTTAAGATTCATCTAAAGATTATTAAACCATCTCACTTAATTCTAACTATAATCAAAATATCTATAAGTATAAACTATAATCATATAAGTAAATATTGTAATTACTTATGAATTACTCAATCTAAAATATACTAAATATACTTTTGTAAAACATAGTCCAAAAAATCTTATGAATAATTTGATTAAAAGAGTATTTTTGATTAAAAATCTAAAAAGGTATTCTGAGAACCGATTTTTTTAGTTTCCATATCACCTAATCTAACATATAATTTAGATTATTCTATGCATAAGATTTTTAAATCGTTGAATTCATAATATTTTTAAAACATTTTAAATAGTTGAATTCTAGATATTTTTTAACATTTAACTCACATTCATTATATATTAGTTATTGTAATTTATTAATTTCTATAAATTAAATAAATTATTTGTTCATATCCTCTTTTACGAAAGATCATCCTTAAATTCCAGTAAGTGAAAGTTATTTATTTAAAAAAAACTATTGGAGCACAAAGATATTTGTTTAATAATAATTATTATTATTAGTTTGAAGATATTTATATTTCTATTAATGGGTATTGTATTTTATAGGCTTTTAAATAAAACGAAACTTGGAAATCAAATAAAAAACAATTTTCTAAAGTTTGTATATTTTTGAAAAATAATTTATAAATAGTTACCATTTTGAATATTGTGTGATGTGAATTTGAGACATTTTCAAAATTTATAATTTAAATAAAATATTATAAAAGCATGATTATGGGAATTTTTAAATTTGTCATGTACTTGTATTTTTATATATGAAATAAATCTTATATAAATAAAATAAATTTTATATAAATATGTTTTATTATTTTTTATTTATATAAAAAATATAAAAATATTAATAATATCTTAATTATTAAATTAAAATAAATTTAATATTTTTTATTTTAAATAATAATAAAAATTTATTCCATATGGAGTTTGATGCCATTATAATTCATTTTTCATGGGTAAAGGTGGATAAATTGTTTTACATGTTTATAAGATTATGATTAGTGTACATCATTCTAATCTTGACGTTTTTATTTTCTTTATTTTTTTATATTTTAATACGTATAAAAGTCTTGGTAAATTTTTCAAAGGCTAAAACTAACACACAAATAATTTTCTTGCTCTAAAAAAAACAGAAAGAAAGCTTAACAACGTTTGGAAAAGTAATATTAAATAAATACTAAGAAAAGTAATCCTAAAACATGATTTGGCAAATAATATAAAAAATACTGCATTATATTTATAAGTGAATTAGAAAAAAGAAAAGAAAAAGAAAGGTGAACTCATTCTCATTTGATTCAGCTATCCTTGTGCTATTTTTTATGTGAAAAGACAATTTAGTTGATACGGATATAAAAAGGAAAAAAGTAAATAACTAGAGAAATATACATGGGTTAATTGGTAAATAAGAAAAAGGAAAAACACTCCACTTAACTTTGGAAAATTAAAATGACATCTTCCCAAAACATTAGAGAATGGTGGAAGTAGGTCGATTCAGTTTTTATAAGCGCAGAAATCTACTATGTTTCCCAAATCAGTGGAAATAAGTTTATAAAAATTGTATCTGCCATGTTTTTATATATACAAACTTAAAAATTTTCAAACAAATTTTTAAAATCTAATATGGCCTCCTTAAAGTCTCTTTCTAATAAGACTTGTCATTAAGAAATGAATTTATTATCCAGCAAATTTATAAACTTAAACCCTTTATTTATGTTTTATAATTAAATTTGTCAATTTAGATTAACTTTATAAAATAATAAAATTGAAAAAAAAAATCTCATTTTTGTTTTACCATGATTTTTAGTTCATTATTAGTTGTCGGAATAGTCTTTTCAATATTTTTTAGAACGTTAGAGATTTTTTTTAATGTTTCTTTACCTTATATATTTCCTATATTATATCTCATTTATTTTATAATAAGATTTTAATATGTATTTTTTACATTCCATAATAAATAAAAAGGTGATACAAACAAAATGTCCAAAGTACTTAAAAATTCCCTTTTTTTTAATCAAAGAGTAAATTATACTTGGAAAACATAAGAAACTATACGAATTTTCTTTGTTTTCTATTTTCTATTTGAAAATAATTGCATAATACCTTTATATATTATTTTTTAAAATTGTTTGAAAAATAGTACACTATTTCTGAAAAAAGGAAATTGTTGTAAATGTAAAAAAGTAAGTAATTTTACAAAATTTGTGGAGGTGATGTAATTTACTTTTCCAGTGTTTTTTTCTTTCTCACTCTCTTCACCCTGTCATTGCCTCACACTCCAACAACAACACATTCTCAGACTTATTTATAGTTGTCCCCATTCTCGTCGCTTTCTTTCTAACTCCATCCCTTTCCTCCTCTTCAAATTGGGTCAGGGTTAGTCATTAGAATTAGGGTTAGGGTTAGGGTTAGGGTTTCTCTTACTTCACACACGCGTAATGTAAGACATCCAAAACCCCAAATTATATCCTCCTACCAACAACAATGTACGACCCGATGAACCAGATCGTCCCCGCCGAAGACAACGACGCCGCCGCCTCCGACCACCACATCCATTACAGCTCCCACACCATCGAAGACGTTGGCGCGGCCGTCGAAGACGTTTCCGCCGACTCCGTCTTCGTTCCACCCCCTGAAATCTCTATCCAGGATTCTAGCCAGCTCACGCTCTCGTTTCGGGGCCAAGTTTATGTCTTCGATGCCGTTACGCCTGATAAGGCACTTTCTTCTTTTCTTCTGTTTTACTGTTTTTTTTTTTTAATTATTATTAAACCATTGTCTTTTTTTAAGAATGAGCTGAATTGTATTTCTTTTCACTGTAACGACGCCGTTTCAGGTCCAAGCAGTGTTGTTGCTGTTGGGAGGAAGTGAACTAACTTCGGGCCCGCAATGTGCGGAGCTATCCCCTCAAAATCATACGGTAGTTTCGACGGTGTAATTTCAAGCTCAATATTTTTTAGTCTATCTGGATAAACTACTCCAAATTCAATTTTATGAGTAGGATTGAACCTCTTATATAAGATAAAAAATCAACTTATCACTCTAATTTTTGGAGAATTTATATGAGAAAGCTTCTTTAAAAGTTTAAGGTTATAAGTTGATTTTAACTTATGGAGAAATTTATCCAATCAAAACCTTTGTGAGAGTATTTTTCTAATTATGCGTTTGTTGATGATGGGTTTAGGGTGCAGCAGAGTTTCCTGCAAGATGCAGTCTACCACAGCGAGCGGCATCGTTGAATAGGTTCCGTCAGAAGAGGAAAGAGCGGTGCTTTGATAAGAAAGTTAGATATAGTGTACGTCAAGAAGTTGCACTCAGGTCTGAATCTGATAGTAAGCTTTCTACTTGCAGTTAGAATCTTGAACCTAAATACCATATTATTTGCCTTTCTTTGCTTAAAGTGTGTTCTTGGGTATATTAAATTAGTGATTTGTATGGTAAAGAGTCAAATAATACGTGCTCTGAAAAAAAGTATCATCTCATCATGAATGTATAGGTTTTGTAGTTTTAGTGATTTATGACATTCTGTGGATAGTTATTGATCCTGTCGATGTTGAGTAATGTCAAAACTGCAATATAAACACAAGCAGCCAACCCATCATTTCTGAGTTTTGGAAGGACTGGTTCTGATTTATGTTTATACTGTTATGCTATGCTGCAACAATAAAGGAAATTGATTCCTAGTGAACTTTTAATTGACAAAAGAACATGTTAAAAATTTAATAGGTTTAGTGTCCAGCATTATATTTGACTCTCATTTTGCTTCTTTTTGTATAAATTTAAGCATATTTTGGATTCTTGTAAATCATTCCTGTCAAGAACCTGAATTTTCTTATTTAGGGCCTATTCTTTGTGTTTTCTTTTTAAGAAAAAACATTTTACTGAGAAACGGAATTTCAAAGGCTATATTAATTAGATAAGTTTTACCTGAAAAAAAGGTGTTTTAGTGCTTTGCTCAGAAGTTAAAAGTATTAGCTTCTCCAAAGAGTTCTAAACGGAAGTTGTCATAATCTGTTCTTTAAAGTTGAAACAAGTGTACCGTGGTGAGATATATGTCAAATCAATTCCACTATTCCTCTTTACATACGTGGTTTATATGAATGCATTTCGAAATCTGACAATGAAAATTATTTTTGTTTCCAGTTATGTTACATTACATGTGTACCAATACAAATATCCAATATGACATGCAAGTACAATAGTTTTAAGTTATGTGTGGGATAGGATATATCATATATAATAATTTCTGTAAAATGCAAGTGATATGCTTGCTATTGTTGCAATACAAGTCCCATGTGTTCCAACTCTTCCTTTCGCACTTAATAAGGAGAAAATTTACTGTTTCATTCATAATTTTAGTTGGATGCAGTGGTTATTACTTTTTAAAGAGAAAAGAAGTTGTATCTATTCCTTAGATGTTTTATGCGAAAACTGTGGGTTGAGAACATATTCATGCAAAATATAGGGTTATCTCAGATTCAGATATATGAATGCTGTTATATTGTGTAAGTATTGGTATTGGATAATTACACTGTAGAGATACATACATCACTAATTTAGGAGTATCTGTGCATAATAGGTTTCCAAAGTAGTTAATAGTGGCCAGATGACCGCAATTGCCCTACTACAGAGTGGAGCTTCTTTGCTCCCAAATGCTGGTATTCGAGTGTTTTGCTGTAATGGTGCTGAGTGCCACAAAATAGCTCTTGGTAACTGAAACACATGGCACTCCTTCTTCTGATTTGCACTTGTTTTTGTCTGTTTGCACCACACAGTCTTCGGAACCTTTTCTTTCCACTTTCTATATTCCAAGTAGACAGTAACCTCTAAGGAAAAGATGTGTTATTTGCATTACTGTCTTGTGTTCGTAATTGTAATTGACAACACTGGCCCTTCTTTAGGGTATGATAATTTTATTTTATTTTATTTAATTATGCTTGTTAGACTTTCATTATTGTATTTCAAGTCTTTTATAACTTGCTCACTAGGATAATTGATAAATTAATCATAAAATTTAAAATTTGAAAATGTGTTTACTGTTTATTGTTTTGGTTATAAAGGTTTAAAATTAGTATACTGGTTATGTTTTATTGAAGTTTCCATAGCAGCTGCTATGCTTTCTGTAGCAGCCATTCTAATAAATAATGCTGCCTTGGTATTTTCAGTGGTAGTCATTCCAATCCATATTCTGCCATTGTCTATATTTGTTCCTGTGTTGATACAAAATTTGACCATAATACGATTAAGATGAAATTGACATTAGTGCTTCTTTGAATGTGCTTCCCCTTCCCAGATGATAAATTTAGTACAAAAAGATTTCAAGTATAATGTATGCTTCCACAGCATCCTTTCAGTTAGTTGGATGCTTATTACATCCAATAATTTGTATATGCTTAAGTGAATAGCTAAATGTTGATCGAGGTTTTTGTTGCTATATAGCGATGTGTGTGTGTCTATTGTGATGTACATAGATGGTTGTTGCATTATTTTAACAAATGGCTTGGTGTCTCCTGATATATGTTTTTCCATCAGCAAGAAACGTTGTGGGAACTTTTTATTTTATATGTAATTTATGCTATCAAATGAGGAAACTCTGGTGTTTTGAGGAAATATTGCACATCATCCATGTTCCACATTTTGTTCTTATTTGCTCACCATTTTAGATGTTTGACTTTATTTGCATTAAATGTCTATTTCTTAGATTATTTTTTAATGTGTAGGATGCATCGTAATAAGGGTCAATTTACATCGTCCAAGAAACAAGATGGAACTAATAGTTGGGGTTCAGATCAAGAGTCAGGACAGGAAGCTGTTCAATCCGAAACCTCGTAAGTTTCTCTTTGTTAACTTTTGCAATTCTGTGACTGACTGGTTTTTTGCCGATGCAATTTGAGTCTTGAGACTTGCCCTTAGATGTTTTACTATCTCCTGTGTTTCATGATTATGAATGTATAGGTGCACACACTGTGGAACAAGTTCAAAATCCACACCAATGATGCGAAGGGGGCCATCTGGTCCAAGGTCACTTTGCAATGCTTGCGGGCTTTTTTGGGCAAACAGGGTAACCATTTCTCCATACGGTTTGGCCATTTGATTTTTTTCTTTTTATTTTTTGGGTGGGGGGGGGGGGGGGATACCTGGTTCATCTTGTTTTCTACTTTGTAGTATGTGTACATTCATCTAGTCTAATGGACTGGAGGCTCTCCCACATCTGACTGTTCTGACATAAGAATGGACTCTATATCAAATCCTATTTTCCTACACAGAATTCTCACATATTCTGTTAGCCAGTTGTTCTGTTCTTCTCCATTGGAAATGCTTAACAGATTTGGGAATTATTATCTATGTTGGTTGTTTTACATTGCAAAGACATTGAAGACCTATAATTTCATTGTTGCTATTTTCAGTTTTGTGAAGTTTCTGCCAGTAAATTTTTGTGATATTTTCAAACAGCATTTGTGATTATCAAAATTTGGGATGTCTGTTTTATCGCATTTGAACATGCTATTATAGTATTTTACTATTTTCTTCTTAGAGACATCCGATATTAATTTAATTTCCTTTCCCTCCCATTCCAAATCATGTCTAGGAATGTGTAACTATATTCTTGCAAGCATTAAATTCAAATGTGCCCAACTGAGAATCTGAAATTTGCTAATTCAGTAATTCTGAATTTGATTGTTGGTCAATCCTAGATTCTGATGCTACAATTCTGCAGGGCACTTTGAGGGATCTTTCTAAGAGAAACCAGGAACACTCTCTAGCGCCACCTGAGCAGGTATGTTTTTCATTTATTATCAGATTATCTTTTACTCCGTATGTTAATAAATGTATCATTTTTCTCTTTTTCACTCTGATGATAGGTTGATGTGGGTAATAATGACTTGGACTGTCGGAGTGCTATCCCTGCACAACATAACAATCATGTTAATGAAACCAAAGCTTTGGTATCTGATCGTTGAGTTTTCCACTCGCAGAAAATGCAAGTCTTGACTGACATTCGCAGGTTTATAGTAATCCCATTCAGTTTGACCTATAGAATGTACAGCATATAGCAAAGCTCTCATCAATACAAGAGGTTGCATTAACAGTTTGACTTTATCTCCCAAGAGGTCTATTTATATACTCTCTCAGATCAGTTGCATTAACTGTTTATCTATGAATGCATTAAAACTGGAATTTTTAAATGAACTTGATCTCGTTCAGTCTTTTCCATGGTTTTACTTCACAGCCTCGTGAAAAATGTGCAATAAGCATGCAATAGTTTTAGTGGATAGTTTTTTAACACCAAAAAGATTTGAAGTGTAATGAAGAATCATGAAACTACAAATGGTTTCATAATTCGACGAAATTGTTACGCAACCATGATAATATGGAATCGTTTGTTTAAGATTACTAGAAGTGGACCCAAAATCAATATATTTATTCACCTTCAAAAAGAAACAAGACTAACATATTGTGGAGAAAGCTACTGTGGACATATTTTTTTATCTTAAAATAATCGCAGTTTTACTTTTTAAAGAAAAATAATTTAATTATTTTTGGGTTTTTAATGCAATATTTATTATTTTAATTCTAATCTAGTTTTTGAATAAATAATATCAATTTGTATTTGTAATAGATAAAAATAATGTATTTAATGAGATTATTCTAATATAAAATTGTTTCAATAAGTGAAATATTTATTTTTATATCTCAATAAGGGAAACTGGTTAAGCACTTTTTTGTAGTTTACCTGGTTGGGTTAGCTGGTAGAGTACGTAAAGGTTAGGGTTAATTGATGTAATTTAATTTTTTACATGCATAGTGTTAGTGTAGTGTCGCAAATGGCTGGCTTAACTAAATATGTTAGCTGTACCTTCTATTATATTTTTTAATATTGTATTGTTAGTTTAAATTTATAAAAAATAACATGAATTTTACTTTTTATTCAATAAATCTTTATTATTTTAAAAAAATATTGAAAATTGTACAACTAGGGGTTCTCGTAAATAATTATTCGTACGTTGAATCTTTAAAATCGTTTTCCTACTTGGGTTTGTTAAAATTAACTGAAAAGTCCAAGCGTATAATATCTTCACTAATTTTATTAATATTTGTAATTTCATTTAGTCCTTTTGGTTTATAATATTTCAGAATAGGTCTTATGAATTTAAAACAAAGCAAACTAACTATTGGTTTCTGTTTTTGTTTCTTTTTAGATAAATAATTCTGTGGTTTAAGTGTTTTCTTCATTAATTAAATTATAAGGGCTATATAAAAACTATTTGACATTATTTAAAAGTTATAAGTGGAATTAGTCTGAAAAGGTTTTAAAACTTAGATATGACATTGGTGAGGTTTTTCTGGGATGATCGTATCATTAAATAATTTAAACTTAACGTAGATATTTTATTAGCGCAAAAGTTCTATAATGTGAATTAATTAGGATTTTTTGTAAGATATTTTTATTAAAATAAATAAATTTATTATATATATATATATATATATATATTTATTTATTTATTGTGAATGTGTGTATCATTTATTCAAATATTTTTGAATTCTATTGTTTCTGATTGAATTTACGTGCTCATATATTTATCATAATTCTTTTTTAAATATATTTTCAATGAAGAATTTTAATATTTGTTATTCTTATTGAAGATGATAATCAATTTTTAGGAGACTGGTTAATTTTTATTCTAAGATTAATAGAGAAACATTGAGTTGATCAATGTGTTATAATTTTTTTTACTTTAAAAAAAAACAGAGATGGTGATCTCGTTCTATTTTTTTTTTTCTTAATTTTATATTTAAATATTAAAATATTAACTCTATATATAGCTGTTAATTTTGTTTTTCTCACTATGTATAATTATTTTTCTATCTTTTACACATTTCATTTTTTTTCTCATTATCTCTTCAACCAAAAATACTCTTTTCTTTCCCTCACATTTCACTTCTTCACATTTTATTGAATTCTTTAATTAATTTTGTTTTCTCAATCTCTTTATCCAGTTTATAAACACATAAAGTTAATTTTGTTACTTTTCTACCTTTGATTAAATACTGCACATTAATCTTAATAATATTTTATTTTATTTTATATTATATATATATATATATCACATTTATTAATATTTTAAAACGACAAACTTATAAAATAATTAAATTTTACATATAATCAAATCTTTAATATATAATATATAATAATAACAATATCATAAATATTTTTCTGTATCTATAAGAAACTATTAAATATTTTTTAGATATATATTTTAATATACATAATAAATTAAAAAATATATTTAATTAAAAATAATGTAAAAATTATAAATATTTGTAAAACTAATAATATCAAAATTAATTTATTATAAATATAAATTATTCTGCTTAAAAATAGTAGAATTGAGGACAGACATCACCCAAAAATAAAGTTCAAAATTAAAGACGAAAATGATTAAGAAAATTATAAAAGACATCGAGCGTAAAACACACCACGTTCTGATGATATATTTATATTTCATAAAGTTAAGCGAGATTGAATAAAATAATATAGTTTTAATATATTAGTAAATATTTTATATTAAGAAAAATAATTAAAATTATATTAAAAATTACTATTATGTGAGTCTCAATAAAATAATATTATATTAGGCTCTCATGTGGAGCAAAGGAATAAAAAAATTGGCATAATTCTGTTCTTAAAAAAAAAAATCAAAATCGGATGAAACCTTCACATAGTGAATTTTATCTAATTCTATCTATCTTAACCTATTTTCTCAATTTTTAAAAACGACGAATCAATTTTTAGTTGGACTATATTGTTTTTATAACTATGTATTTAATCTTGTAAATATATGAATTTTTGGTTGTATTTATTATTATTTTTTCAATATAATTAACTATAAAAATAAACAATTTAACGTATTGAGTATTTTTGTTGTTGTTGACTTGGTGTAATATAGTTGAAATTCCTTCTTTAATTAATGAAAAAAATTAGTGAAATTTAGAATTTACATATATTAAAAGTAGGGATAAAGAGGACTGATTTACTTAAGATATGATTAGTGAATTCCACTATTTAAGGGGATTGGATAAATGTATTCTTCAAACTAAATTATATTTTTTAGGTTTGAATTCAGTTTGCAAATATTCATAAATAGTGCCAAATATATATATATATATATATATATATATATATATATATATATATATATATATATATATATATATGTTTTAAATAAAAGTCTATCAAACTAACAAAAATATTTTCCTTTTGATTTGTTATGCTAAAATCTATCCAACTAAATAACTTATGTTTTTTCATAGTTATAATTAAAATATATAAAAAATTATTTCATCAAAATTTAAAATCAAAGTATTTTACCAATGAATTTATTAAGTGTAATTCTGATAAATCCATTAACCTAATGAGACACAGTTTTTCCTATATTCATAATTTTTTTTTAAAATATCGTTTAATCTATTTAAGAATATTTAATAAATAAGATAGTTGTATTTTTATCTTAAGGATAATAAAATAAATTCATTAATCTCATTTTAACTAATCTTATTAAAGAAAGGATGAGTGAACTAGTGAATTAGTATTTAATATTTTTTATATATAAAATTATATATATATATATATATATATATATATATATAAAAAATATATATTTAATTATATAAATATTTTTAAAATTTAATTTATTAATTACTCCGATATCTGTAAATTATTAAACAAGATAAATTGACTAATATACTAACACTATCACTTTATCCACTCATCTAATACGGATTAGTGAATCATTCAATTCTACCATTTTATAATTAAGAATAGTATATAGTTAAATCATTATTTATTAACTCACCAATTAGCATAAGTACTTGTAATTTGTTTGAAAAAAATGTAAAATGGAATTTTTATTTTAAAAAATATTATTTTAATTTTTGTATAAATTAATTTCAATATATAAAAAATATTTTATTTTCTCTTTAAATATTTATGATTAAGATTACTCGAACAAGATCCTTTATTTTTAAAAGATTAGGGATTTATACTAAAAAAATCATTTTTTAAAATACTTACGCAATTAAAAACTTATTTACGTCTTTTATCATGTTTAAATAAAATTTTCCATTCATTAATACTTGAAATAACACATGAAAAAAAAAAAATAAAACAATTGAACTTTTATTATATGTTAAATCAATTTTTTTGCTTAACTTTTATAAAAACAATAGTCTCAAAATTTCTATCTTTTTTTTACCCTCCAATATAAACATGTGTAAATTAATTAAAAATTATAACACACACACACACACACATATATATATATATATATATATATATATATATAATAATAATAATAATAATAATAATAATAATAATAATAATAATAATAATAATAATAATGAAAGAATAATTAATATGATTTTAAAATTTATTGATAATTCACAAATAAGAATAAGATTTAGCTTATATAAATTTAAAAAGTTAAATAAAATATCTTCTAAGTTGTCTTGCAGAAGAGTATTTCAAAAGTAAAAGTGGTAAATGAGCGTAGTTATAAACGAAATAACTAAAAATAAAGAATTAAGTGGTTACTGATAATATTTAAATAAGAAATAAGTGATAGTTGAAAATATGGTAGTTGAAAATATTTATAATATAAATAAAAAAGAGAGAGTAGAATAGAATTTAACAATTTATTAACTACGTTTTCATACAAATAGCATTTTTTTAATTGTGATTATAAAACATGTGATCCCATATTTTTATCTTTGTAAATCCATCTCATCTAAACCTAAGGTTTCTATACATTAATTTTTGTCGTGAATAGTAAAACATGAATAAATTTAATTTCCTTATCTTTTATTTTATTTTATATTTATTAAAAAGTTTATGGAAACAGAAACTTTACATCTCTATCGTTTGCATTACTTTACATCTCTATAGTATAAGACTTTAATGTAATAATTTTTTCTAACACTCCCATTTATGTTGGTAAAAGACTTAACATTCTAACATTTTTTTTTAAACAATATTCTTACACCTTTTAATAACTATATAGCACAGATGGTTTTTTAGTTTCTAATTTTTTTTATCAATTAAATGTTGAATAACCGTAAGTTACTTTAATTACTGTATCATTTTTTATAATAAATAATGATAAAAAAACATATTCAGAGAACTATTATCTCAAAGGTATTTACTATATTAATTGTCATATGTACCAAAAATTTAACTCATTTTAGGATAGTATAAAATTTTATAGAAAAGTCTACATTTTAGTTAGTATTAATCTGTTATGAATTTTGACATATGTACAAGGACCCAAAAACAATTAAATTAATTTTGAAATTTTAGTATATACATTATCTAGTGTAGAAAAAACTTTATGTAAGAAGAGATTGGGTTTATTGTGTGTTGTAAACTTGCCTCTAAAAATGACTTGAACAAAGTAATATTCAGGATTTATTTAAATCAATTTTTACTAGGAAACTTTTGTACATAGATATATTTACAACATGGGAATTAAACGTAGTGTCTTTTTCAATTTAATAGAAGATTTTGAAAAAGGAGGATTTGCACTTTATCAATTGTCAAAGTCCAAACAAAAAACACTTTACTTTGTACGGCTATATCGACCAATGGTTGGTAAAGTATTGTAACTATCAATAAAATAAAATAAAAACTTTTTTTTTTTGCCAAAATGTATTTTTATGGATACATACATGTTACTTTACATTGATACAGTTATCATGAACTAATCATATATTATCCTCTTGCTTAACTAACTTATTATTATGTTATAATTTTGATACATTCGACATGATTACATCTTGGGATGTACCAAAAATAAAGAAAAGCATATTTGTAGTAAACATTTAAACAGCAAGTGCAATAATTTTATGTTTTTAAACGAAGAAAATGACACAAACAGAATCCAATAGACCAAAGCATAAAGCAGATTCCGCTCCAACCTCATAATATTCATCCCACGAACTATCTATAAATGGTTGGTTCCCACTTCCAATAATGCTCACACCACACGATGTTACATCATCATCACTCATATTCATTGCCATAAAAAATCATTACATGGCCCTGAAAACCCACTCTACAAAACAATAACATTCACATCATCAAACAAACTTTAGGAGATTTCAATTTGAAAGAAAATGCGGTTTTTTTTTCAGACAAAAAAAATTATTTTTTCAGAATGTTTAACTTCAAACATCAAGGATTTTTGTCAATCAATTAAAAATAAAAAATAGTTAATAAAATTAAAAGCTATTATTTGAGCAGAAATCATGAGATTGCAGCAACACTGCTCTGCGAAACCGTTGACTCTACACCCTACAACCGTACACCTTCTCACAAGGGATAACTAACTACCACTTTCGTTCTTTCTTCTTATACTATCTTCAACCAACAACGACACAAACTAAATTCACGACACGCTGACGCCGTCAAACCAATTTTCACCCTCTCTTTCTCCAGATCTTCACTCCCTCCATTTCTCTCTCTCTCTCTCTACTCTCCTTCTCCAAACTACCACCACCTATTTGGTTACTCAATTTCGCGCCTCAAATTTCCCTCACGTAAACCATGCTCCACTGCAACACAAATTAGGGTTTCTGCTGTCAAAGACGTGGGGGAACCGATGGCGTCTGTGAATCCGCAGCCTCTGCAGTTCCAGGACCCTGCGATACCTGTGGATGACGACGATGACGACAGTGATGGTGCTGATGATGATGCTATGGATGAGTTGGAGGATGCGCATGTTAGTTCAGTGAACGTCGTTGCTAATGCTGCGAGTGCGAGTCATGAAGCCGTGGCTGCTATGCCTTTGAGAACTAGCGAGCTTACTCTTTCTTTCGAGGGTGAGGTTTATGTCTTTCCCGCTGTCACTCCTCAGAAGGTGATTCTATTTTATCCTTTTTTTTTCTTCTATTTCTCGGAATGCTCTCGAACTTCGTGGTTTGTTTGTTTGTTTTATTATGCTATAGTTGCAGTGGCTCGTCGCTTTGGTAAATTTAACAAATTTAGGCGGGAAGTGTTCTTAAATGTTAGGATTTTTTAGGAAAAGTAAATAACACAAAGATTTTACTTAATTAAATAAAATTATATCCTCAGTGGCTTAAGGATTACCATTATATTCATGTAGAATATCTTTCAAAGTAGACACAATGAACCCGTAGACAGAGTCAAGTAAAATAACATCAACAAAATAGCTTTATGTAATGGTATGTGTTTTTTATGTAAGGTAGTAATCCGAAATGAATGATACTCTGCAGGATGTGTGGTTATGTCTTGGTTTTTGTCATATTAAAGAAAGATATGTAAAGAATGAGGGTGAACTGGAAATGTGCTGCAGAGGTGGATTGTTTTCAATCTGTTATTATATTACATATTTCTTTATTGAAGAATCAGCAGTTTGGAAAGGCTTAGTATTAGGAACGATATAGATGTAGCCTACTAGTCTATGCTCACCTTTTGGGTATTGCATTGCACCTAGACTTAATTGCATCAATGGAACGAGATAGTACTGTAATTTTTTGTACGTAGAATGGAATAAGTTATGAACTGTAATTACCAGAAGAAATGGGTTTTTGAGTTCTCATTGCGGGTACTTCGAGGATTTGAATTCTGAAGTAAATATCACAGAGACAATATAAAATATATAAAACTCCCATCTAACATATTATGGGATAAGATCAGACTCATTAAATGATGCGTGTCTCATTAGATCTCATTTCTATTTAGTGAGTGTCATGAATTTTAACCAATAGAAGAATATATTTTACTAAATATTCTTCTTGACTCTGAAGCCTAAGTAGTGTCCATAATCCAGTGGGATAATAATAGGAACTTGGATGTTCTGGAGTGTCTAAGTCCCACGTAGAGTAATAAGAGTGTTGAGTATTTAAGTGATTTGTTCTTTTCCCTTAATAGCTAACTTTTGAGAGTAGGTTCTCAATACTTACCAGATAAGTTATCAACAAACCTTTGATAAAAAATGAAGCTAACTAGAGTAAGTTTGTTCAAATTTCTGATTAATTCAAACAGGTTGAGAGAACATAGAAACCAGCATTAAGTTAACTATTTAATACTCAACTCTCCGAAAGGATGATGACCAAGGATTTTGTTACGGAATGCCTGGTGATCAAATTTTACATTGCAGGTTCAAGCCGTGTTGCTGCTCTTGGGAGGACCTGATGTGCAGGCAGGTGTGCCTGCAGTTGAATTACCATTTGATCAAAGTAACAGGGTAATGTGTATATCTACTTAATGAGATCAGCTTGATATCTTGTATAACATTTTAGGCATGCATTTGAGTATTCTACCGAAATCCCTAGGGTATGGGTGATACTCCAAAGCGTTCAAACCTTTCACGAAGAATAGCATCCTTGGTCAGATTCCGCGAGAAACGAAAGGAAAGATGTTTTGACAAGAAAATTAGGTATTCCGTGAGAAAAGAGGTGGCACAGAGGTAAGTAAGATTTCATATTGTCCCCTTTTTACCCAAATACGTGATAATAATATTATCACTTAATTGTCTCACCGATTATGCTCTTTATAATCGTGGTAGATCTTTGAAACACAATTATCAATTTTGGAAAGGCTAACTCTAAAAGTTCAATAGCGGGAAGAGAGATAGCCGCTATTTAAATATTATAATACAAACTAAATAATACTACAGTACACATAAAAATACTAAAAAATAAAACAAAACAAAATACCTGACATTAAAGAAATTCATGATAAATAATAAGTCACAGTTTGTTTACACACAATCACCGACGATCATGGAGCACTAACAACATACTAGTAAAGTCAAAAAATGAAAGATGACGGTAAAATTAATAGAAAAAAAAATACTGAATAAGATGAAAATTTAGCATAATGTGAACTGGGTGAGAGTTATAAAAAACTGTCATTTCAAAACTCCAGCTTTATGATTCTGTGATAAGCTAGTTATAAAAATGTTATCCAGACGAACAGTAACCGGGCGAACCTAATACATTTGAACTTGATTGTCATTTGTAGAGAGGTTATAATATAAAGAGGGTCGGTGTATGGTCTGACTAAAGTTGTTTTTACAATGAACTCTCTTACAATGAAATATTAGGCCTGGGTTGTTATCAGGTAAAGTCAAATCAGTGAGCATATTTCTCAACAGAAGGACAGCGAAACATAATGTGTTGTCTTGAGAGTTGGTAGTTGAGTGCCATTATGAGGGCTCCTTGTAGGGATTTGTTTGATTTCCGGTTGTTTTTGAAATTCGATGTATTCTTTTATATTTATAATTTTTGCGTGTTCTGTTTTTTCGGTCTTTTATGCTTGCTAGGATGCATAGGAAGAATGGGCAGTTTGCATCCTTGAAAGAAAGCCCAGATTCATCTAATTGGGATTCTGCACGGAGTTCTGCGCAAGATGGCACTTCTCATTCTGAATCTGTGTGAGTTTTAAAGCTTGGATTTCCAACATATATACTATTTTATCCCAATGTTTTGGTTCTTTTGCATGTATATTTTTATTGCATTTCTGTGAACATTAATTATTCACGCTCCATGCCTTTTCATGCCTTCTAGACGTAGATGTCACCATTGTGGTGTCACTGAAAACAATACTCCTGCAATGCGTCGGGGGCCAGCTGGACCAAGGACTTTATGTAATGCATGCGGCCTTATGTGGGCTAACAAGGTTAGTGTCATTGCACTAAATGAAGTCAGCTACAGGGATGAAATGATACTATTGTGTTATGTCAAACTTTTTGTCTTCTGAAGGGCAATACAAATTTAAAGTAGAATTATCAAAATCCGATGTATAATATTTTTTTCCCAATGATAATTGACAACTGTTCTGGATTTCTTTAGCTTACGTAAGTTACTATTGTGTGTAGTTACCAAACCATTGCCATTTATTATCTTCTATGATGTCATTTCATTGTTCATGATTGGGACGGTGGTCCCAGTTATATAAGAACTGGCAGGAGCTTTATAATAAGAAAAATGATACATGGACACCCATAATAGTAAATTCCCTTTTACCTTAGCAGTGGCATGTTTCTGATTACATGATACTAGCTGGACTGAATATTTATGTTTCTTTCTTACCTTGCATCCTCATTATTAACTGTTTGCACCTTGCAAATATCTTCATTTCCACTGAAACCACTGCTTAACTCTGACAGGGTACACTCAGAGATCTCAGCAAGGGAGGAAGAAATCTTTCTGTTGAGCAAAGTGATCTGGTATGTAAGACAGAGAACTTAATTTTTTTTTTTTTTTCCAGATTTATTCCCTGATTGTAAATGCGAAGGGGGATCAGTTCTATATATATTTATAATTATCAGTTCCAAATGAATATCTGTTATAAATTCTTGGGTGTGAAATATCTTAAGTTTTTTCTTGATAGGAAAAGAAAAATAATTCAACACTTTTGTGCTGGGAAAATAAAATTCATTAGAGATAAAAAGAAAGGTATATAGGGGAGCATGAGCGTTGTTTTGGGTTGTGGTTGTTCGGATTTTCAAGCTACTGATGTCAAACAATCATTTTTTGATAACATAATATCTTAATCATAAGTCAAGCTACTGATGTCACTCTCCTTTAATAGCAAAGTTAAAGATCACAGATCAAATCCCCATTGGATAAGGTATCCGGATGAAACTTACAAGTTAAAGAATTCTAATATGCGTTGACAATTTATAAAATAAATAATATTAAAAAATGAATTTAAATGTTTTTTTTCCCATCAACATTTCCCATTAAATTTCGGTGGACTTCTGATTCTCACTGACATAGAAGGAAACAATTGATATGATGAAGGATTTTCAGAAAGTAATTTTTGTAAAGAATTTAAAATATTATGTAGGGAAATATGTTGTTTAGATAAATATATTTTTTATGAAGAAATTAAAAATTAAAAATATACGAGATTATTTTAATTATTTAAAATTATGAAATTTTATATTTTACTAAAATAGTTAGACCTGGAAATGTTTGTATTGTTTCTCAGATAAAATTTATTTTGAGAATTTTTTTTTAATGTAAAACTTTCTCGCAACTCCACTTAATAATATAATATCAATTAAAAAAATTAATTAAATACTTTTATAATTATAATTTGAATTATTTAATGAATGTTTATTTATTTTAAGTTGACAATATATCATTTTTTTAAATAACTATTAATATTGTTTTAAAAAGTGTTATATTCTTATTTTTTTTAATTAATAGATACTATTTTATCTCAACTTTAGTGATTAAATGTTTTAAATTAGTAAAAAAAATTGATTTTAAAATATAAAAATTTATTTAATTTTTCTACATATAGTAGAAATTAAGTTATCCATCTAAGTTTAACATTTTATATTTAATAAATTTAGATTGATTTATTTAAATAAGATATTTATAAAGTATAACAAATTTATTGGTTAAGATTATTCCTAACCAGAAGCAGAACCAATTTTTTCCCAGTAGAATTCTAAAACAACCTAATCACCAATAAGGGCGAAAAACAAGCAAACTAACTTATTAGTTCGAGTTTTTTTTTTGGTTTGGGCTTTAGAACACAAGTTGGTTTGAACAGCCTTACCAGAAAATCTTTGTGGTGCATATATCTAGGTCCTTTCAATTACATTGCATTCCTAATATATAAACATAGGTGGTTTACCAATCAACGTGAATGGAATTTGCAGGACATTCCTATTGATGTCAAGCCTACTTCTGTTATTGAAGGGGAATTGCCAGGAATGCATGATGAGCAAGTAGAAACTTTTACACATTGCAATTTCAATTTCGGCAGCGCAAATATTTTTTCACTTTCATGAAACTTTTCATGGGTGTGCAGGGTAGTTCTGAAGATCCGTCCAAGTCCAACATAGCTGATGGTTCTATTGGTCATGCACTAAATCCTAGTGATGAGGTAGTTTTAAATATCTCTCTCTATATTTTATGTTTGTATAACAGATTTTCTCAGGTTTTGAGAAAAGGAAATCATCTAATGAATTGTCATGATACTTGTCTAATGGCTATTGGGGTGATTTTCTTGTTCAGGAATTGCCCGAAACTGCAGAAAACTTTCCGAAAGCTCTGCCACAAGGGCTTGGTCATTCTTCAACAAATGATACTGAACAGGTAGGTATTCACAACTTTACGAGCCATTTCATCTGAGAGTTTAACTAGCCCCACTTTACCAATGAAAATCAAAATGGGGCCAACTATACCATTGTAAATATACAAATTATGAAGGTAAACATAATTATTTCTAAGTTGCATTTCGGTAGTAACTTCTTACGTGAGGTTCATTTGATCTACAGGAACCTCTGGTCGAACTTTCTAATCCTTCAGATACAGATATTGACATTCCAGGAAACTTTGATTAGAAGGTACTAAGTGATTCATTATGTTGAGGGGTTTTATATAATGGTCCCTCTGTAGTATATTGTTGGTGTACTAATGAGATGCAGATCTAGAAGCAGTGATACATAACAGAAACAATTAGGAAATTCGGGGTTATAACAAATTGTAGCCCTCGGAAATGGAAATGATTACGGATTAGCAAATGTCAAGAAGCTCTGCTATTCCGGCCTAACATTCAGTAGCCCGCGATATTGATGCTGGTATAAGTGCCAAACATTGTTTGTGTATATGTTATCAAACGATCTTCCTTCAGTGTTTATATCATAAATTATTCATTAGTTGGGGCCTGTGTTAATAAAAATGTTGTCTGCTTGCCCCTGACTATAATAATTTCATTGAGATCAAAGCTCTGCTATCCTGATTTTAGAGATCAAATTTCGGTGATATGCGTTGTCACTCAAGGATGGGTTACTAATTTGAACATCAACGCAGAGGTGTGCTAATTAAGACCTTCAACGAAGTTTAGGCTTTTGCTGCCTGGCCTCTTGGTGAGAACATTTGAATATGCTATAATTAGTACAGATAGACTTGTTCCAAATGTACATATACATATAAAATAAATATTAATCATCGTCTATATTCTTCCATACTCATGTTATCACTGCTGTTGAGCTGGCCCGAAACCAGTTATCACCATGGTATCTAATAATATACCATGCATAGTTATATTAAGATAGAATTGTTAGAATTTTAAGCTTACTACAATTCAATTAACCCCTGTTTAATTAAGTTCAACTAATTGTTCCCACAATGTGTTCAAGTTTCGAAACTGAAGTTATAGTTCTTAAAAAAGTAATAGTATATTTAACGTTGACAAAATTATTACTCTAATACATAGGTAGAACAATTTACTTGGAGCATCCTTCGTATGCTAAATTCTAATGTACGAATCAAGTGTTCAGTTTTTTGTATGTTTGCTTGTCCTTTTTGTTTTTCTATCGAGATATTGAAGTTTTATTTTTTTGATATGGTTTCACATCTAATCTAATACGACACTCAAAATTGCATTACTAACCTTTTTTATTTATTTATTTGAATTATTGTATTGAGATGTATCATGACACTTGATTATTTTCTACTTACATTTCTTGAGACTTTTACCCATTTCGATTTTTGACTTGGTTCAAGTATTTAGCTGATAGAACACTTCAATTCGAATTGAGACCATAATTTCAAAATTCACTTGGGAGAAATTGAAATGGAACAATTAAGCGTATCTCCTAACACTCAACCATTTTGCCAATAATTAGGCTTTTTCATTTTTTATTTTATATTTTTGCTGCATCTTCAATCTGTTCAACTTTCATAACCTCTTACTTTCTCTTTGAAATCACTTCACCATTTTCAAAATTCTCACCCCCATTACAGTAATCTCTTTTTGTTTAAGCCGGATTAAGCCACTTTCCCTTACCATTTTCATCTCCTCACCATAACTATTCCAGACTCTACCTCACAAGTTTCAAAGAAAGTACTTGGGGCCATTATCAAAAAAAGATTTATCAAAATGCGATAAATTCAGACACCGAAGACAAAAGGAGAGAATATGGGGACTTTTGATATTTATTCCCTTCTTTTCGGGAAAATTCACGCATTAATTTTTGTGTCCTTTTAGGTTTTAATCATCGCTTGAAAAATATGAATATTTTTCGTCAAGCTTTAGAAGAAGGGCCTACCTTTGATGACAAGCAATTCAAAGAAAATTTATGGATTTTTTTCACTTGTGTTCTATAATGAACATCTCCTGAGAATGAGGATTGATGAGTTTGTTTGAGCAGATGAATTGAGTCGAAATTCATGAGGGACACTGGAAGAAAATAAGTATTCAACTCACAAAGTTTTATTTTTTGGAATCGAAGCAATAATGCGTTTTGCAAGATATATGCTCCAGCAATATTCCATGCCGTTGCCATAACAGGTCTTTGATTGACTAGAGATTTTTTCCTTTCTTCAAAGTACAATATTAGTAGAAAATATATTAATTTAGAAATTAAATTATGGGATATTTAATATTTTAAAAATTAATTATATAATTTTATATTATAATTACTTCAAGAAAAACTTGGAGATTGGTGGTTTATATTCATATTTACATGACGATACAAGTTGTCCAATCTTTCGAAATTCTTCTGGGAAACATTCGGTGTTCTTTTCTTAACTTAAATTTTAGCGGTGATTTTGAGATTGGAAAATGCTCCTCCCTTCCAACTTTTCTGTCTGCAACGTCTCTTCAAACACAAAACAAAAATTTAAAAAGAAATCGCAACAAAGTGTTTCAGTGGTCACAATTCGCAAGTCACAATCGTAAGAGCATCCTTTTCTTTAACTAATCTTAATTTATTCTCTAATCTCCATCAATCCTATACTATAAAGGAAACTGATGGCCATAAATTAACATTGAAACTCGACGCTTCTTTTTCCATTTTACGTTTTCGTTGCGAATAAAAACAGTAGCTATGGCGCCGTTTGGGTCGAGCAACAATGCCATGGCTCCTCCTCGAGTTCTTCAATTTGATCTAATAGAAGGAATGCAACTTGCGGTACATGACTTTTTTATGATCGAGCGCTTCCCTCTTGGCCAAAAATTATAGTTTTCACAATTCGATTGTGATTCGGCCCAGCTGGCCTCCGTCACAGGACAATTGATGTTAACTGCAACAATCTCCCCCTCAGCAATTGTCAGTAACAGCCCAAGTGCCACGATTCGATTAACATCTCAAGCGTCACGATTCGATTGTGACTCGGCCCACCCGGCCTCCGTCACAGGACAATTGATGCTACCTGCAACAATCTCCCCCTCAGTAATTGTCAGTAATAGCCCAAGTGCCACGATTTGATTGTGACTTGGCTTACCCCGCTTTCGCCGTAGGACAATTAATGCTACCTGCAACAATCTCTCCCTCAGCAATTGTCAGTATCAGCCCAAGTGCCATGATTTGATTGTGACTTGGCCTACCCCGCTTTCGCCGTAGGACAATTGATGCTACCTGCAACAATTTCTCCCTCAGCAATTGTCCTACGAGATCCCACTTGGATTGTGACTTAGCCCATCTAGCCTGCGCCACCGATTATGACTTGGCCCACCTGGCTTGCGCCATGGGACAATTGTGCAACCTGCAACAATCTTCCCCTTAACAATTGCTCAACAGGAATCAAACTCGTGAACTTGACTCTGATATCAATTGTTAGGATCGAACGCTTACCACTAAGCCAAAAACTATAGTTTTAAGTTAGAGCGCAACTCTTTTTACTTAAGAGTAACATCCCAAGCACCACGATTCGATTGTGACTCGACCCACCCGACCTCCACCACAGACAATTGATGCTACCTGCAACAGACTTTTTCGTTGTTTTCAGCCAATTTTAGCAATAAAAAGTCGTGTATCAATTAATACTTCATTTATTTATTTGTTGGTTTTTCTTAGATTAACATATCTGGATCTTTGGAGAAGCGCAACGTGCGAATTGAATTTCAACTCAGTAATTGTTCGAGGACTTGGATCCTTCACTGGGGTTTTATCTTCAACGGCAACACGTAAATAAAAATGATAACAGTAGTAAAACCTTGTTTTCGAAGAACAATGTTTTTCCTACACTTTCTACGTCTTTGATGATTTGTTTTACTTGCTGTTTCACGTAATAATAGTTGAAAGTCCAAAAAGCAAGTGAAGTGTACAATTTTTTTCTTTATAGGAATTGGTTTATTCCAGCTGGTAATTCTTCTGGAGCAAAAACTTATAAGCAAGGAGCATTGCAGTCACAATTTAAGAAGGTTTTTATTTTATCCATAAAATTCTAACATGGCTATAATCGATACATCTGAGGACGGCATGTTAAAAATTTTCATGCATGATTTGCAGAATGGACAGATATACATTCTTATCATTGAGTTGCGGGATCCTAGTATACATGCCATTGAGTTTGTTCTGAAAGATGACAGTCATGATAGATGGTTTGATTCTAAGTTTTTAAATAAACTAAAATTGAGAACTTCTTGAGAATTAATGTAATCTTGTTTCTTGGTTTCTAGGTTGAAATTGAACCACATAAATTTTCAAATCGAGATACCAGCAAGTGATGCTCCAGTAATAATTTCTCACTCTGATTCTAGCACACCAAAGGATCTTATAGATCATAGGGCAAATTCACAATGGGAGGGAAGGCCTGTAAGTTTGTCTCAACAACACAAGGTATTTTAACATTATTATTTAGCGGAAGCAATGTTTCGTGGTTTTAGAACTTCCCATGAGATGCTCGTTCAATTTTTCATCACTGTAGTTCTTAGAGTTCATGAATAATTTGGATCTCGTATTGGGTAAAAAATGAATAATATACTAAAACAAGAGATGCTTAATGTTTTAGTACTTAAACTTAAGGTTTCTATTTAGTTTTTGAATTGAATATAATATTATATTATATTGCTTTGTATTCAATGAGGGATTTATAGAATTATCTTTCAAAATTTCTTATTACACTATTTTGAACTTCAAAAGGATTAGAGTAAATGTTGGAAAATAATATTGAAGATTCATTATTAATAATAATAGAGTAGATATAGAGGGGGAAAAAAGAGAAAAAAATATAAAAACTGAAGAATATTATTAGTTTGACAAAAAAATAATAAGAAATTTCCATTTTCTTTCATAAAACCAGCTTTGCTCTTCCATAATTTTCTTTTTATGTTCCCGTTGTACTATACTACTAATAATAAATAATATAACTAAAGAAATATTAATAATAATTAAAAAAAAAGCAATAAAAAAATAAAAATAATAATTTGTTACTTGCCTATATCAATAGTGGGCTATCGGCATTGTCAATATCTTGAAAAGGGATACTTAGGAAGGGATTGTGCTACCATTAGGACATAAACCCTCAAGAGATAGAGATTGTGATTGAGATCTCACGCTAAATAGAGAAAAAGTTCAAATAATGTTTATAAACCGTGAACAATTTTCATATATAAATTAATTTTATGGAGTTAAGTTAGTTTTCAACTTTAATAAGAAAAGCTACCATGCAAATAAATAGAGAGTAGAGAGGGAAAGAAAACACTATGTTTTGTTGTCTTCCAGCTGTCGTTACGATATTTATACTTCAGAAATATGATTGTATTGTGTATCATATGCTCTGCCTGGTTATGCAAACTTTATTATTCATTTTCTGAAATAATTTTTTACTTTCAAATTTTGGGTGCAGCAACATTATGATAATGCGTTGACAGAGCTCCCAAATCACTTATCGAAAGGAATAATCTTGAATAAGTCATGGAATAGCTATCCAACTGGAGGAATAAAACCTGTGAATGATAACAGAGATAAACTCAGAAGTTGTATGCAATATTCCTACCTTAGGAAATATAATATTGAAGACTGGTTGCAAAAGCATTCTGAAGGGAATGCCAAAGGAACTACATCAACAGCAGCTGTTGTAGAGAATTTTATAGGGGGAACATATGCAATGTCAAGGCGAATATATCATGTTCACAACTATGAGATTGTGGTTAGTTTTCTTGTTATCATTCTTGTCAAGCTGACAGGACTAGTATTTTTTTGACTGTTTTGTGACTTTCATGCATTGATTGGTATTTCCAAAAACCATTAATGGCGAGAACCACATTTTCATTGCTGCAAACTCAAAAGGTACTACGGTGCTTCACTGGGGTTTATGTAAATACTGTCCAAGTGAGAGGCTGGTGAGTTTTCTTAAGCTTCTGTTACAGCAGTTACATGTTTTGCTTGGTTTCATTATCTGATTTTGCTATATTGTGGAAGGTGCCACCCCAAGAGATATGGCCAGAAAACTCGAAACTGGTTTCAGGGGCATGTCAAAGCTATTTTACGGTTAAGTTTTCGGAGAATAGATCCTCAGGTTATTTATGCAAGTGCATTGTTTCACAGTCCTACTATTGTGGATTCATGGATATTATTAAAGACACATACTAACCATAAAACTTCTTCCCCCTTACTCCACAAAAAAAAAAAAGAAAAAAAAGATTGTAGATGTCAATTTGCAGAAAAGGTATTTTGCTGGTATTCAGTTTGTCATCTGGACAGGTGGATATTGGATTAAAAACAATGGGCAAATTACTTTTCGAAAATCAAACCAATCAATCCAACTGAAAGGGTAATTTTTCATATTTCTTCTCTAACATTTTCATGTTAAACAAGCAGGTCACACTTCCACATGTTCCCCCTTTTTCCTGCATGCAATTAAAATGTTCCACATGTTAAATGCTTAGACTGTACGTGTTGATTAAATGATATACCCTTTGTTCCGACTATTGTATAAGAGCCCTAATATTTGAGAATTTTTCATCTGAACACCTACAGTTCAACAGAGATGCAAAAGAGGTTGTCTTTGTTGTAAAACCTAAATTAGTTGTTTGGTATTCCTAGAATAGTATTAATGGTTTTAGATATGATTCATGAATGACATAATCAAGAAATATGGGCTGCAAACCTATTTAATAGGTATCATGATTTCCTTTTGGCATTTGAAGAGATAAACATTTTTCCCATAAATACTTGTAACAACTCATTTGAAATAGTACCAGTGAGAGAAAATAGAGAGATTAAAAGAAAATAAAGTACTGCCAACTTTTACTTTTTGCCTACTTGTTGCCAACAAATTGACATCAGAGCTTGTGTGTGAAATGAGCGTGAGAGAACGCCGCGATGTGCGCTGACTAAGAAAGAGAGAGGAGCGATCGAGAGCTTTGTGAGGTGTGTGAGTTGAGTGCAAACACTTGAGAGAAATGACAGGTCTAACTAATGACATCCCGCTACCCAAGTTGACGAAAGGCGCAAATTATGACAACTGGAAGGTACAAATGAAGGTCCTTCTCGGTTCCCAAGATAATTGGGATGTGGTCGAGACTGAGTATGAGGAACCGACAAACACAGATGGGCATTCAAATGCCCAACTGAGTGCGTTGAAGGCTGTTCGAGTTAAAGATAAGGCGACACTGTATCTGCTCTACCGAGCTGTCGACGAATCCAACCTTGAGAAGATAGCCAACGCAAAATCTTCCAAAGTAGTGTGTGATACACTAAAAAAAGCAAACAAAGGAGATAAACGGGTGAAACAAGTTCGACTTCAAAACCTTAGGGGCGAGCTGGAAAACATGAAGATGAAAGAGTCTGAAAGCGTATTCGAGTTCATTACTTGGGTGAAAGCGACAATAAAAGGGGAGAATGTGCTCTATGCTCAGAGTACTAGAGGCCGAGGAAGACGCAAAGACCAATGTGGTAGAGGAAGAGGAGGATGAGGAAATGAGTAAGTCGGCTAACAGAACTGGCGTGGCCGAGGTCAGGCTCAGGGTGGCCAGACAAACACAAACAATATTGAATGCTATAACTGTGGGAAGTATGGGCATGTTGCCAAGGATTGTTACTCGGTAAAATGCTACAACTGTGGAAAGCTGGGTCATATTTCCAAAGATTGTAGGTCCGAGAAGAAAAAGGAGGAACCAAAAAACTTCCTTGTCGAGGAAGAATATGAAGGGTTGTTGTTGGTGACAAACATTCTAGAAACTGAGGTCAAAGCGAGCTGTTCTAATATCTCGGTTTGGTACTTGGACACCGGCGCAAGTAACCATATGTGTAGTGGCGAGCACTTATTCAAATTCTTTCAAAGGTGGAGTCTGGATCTGTTTCTTTCGGCGATGTTTCAAAAATAGCTGTCAAAGGCCGAGGAACAATCTGGTATCAACAGAGAAATGGGCGAATCAGAGAGATTAGAGGTATATACTACGTACCTGATATAAAAAACAACATACTGAGCATGGGACAGATAATAGAGAAGGGGTACTCAGTTCTGATGAAGGACTGATAACTACAACTGAAGGATAAACTCAGGAAGCTCATTTCTCTGATAGAAATGAAGAAAAATCGCATGTACAAACTTGATCTGAAAATAGTTCAAGATAAATGCATGCAACTTGATATGGAGGATGAGGCCATGAAGTGGCATTTTCGATTTGGTCATCTTCACTTCAATGGGTTGACCGAGCTGGTGAAAAAGGAAATGGTGCTCGGACTGCCTAAAATGGAATTCGAAAAAAGGTTCTGTGAAGAATGTGTGACCGGAAAGCAAGAGAGGACTTCTTTCCCAAGGAGTTATGAGTACAGAGCAAAGGAGCAACTCGGACTGATCCATATCGATTTGTGTGGGTCGATAACTCCAGAATCATTCAGTGGTAAGAAATACTTCGTCTCTTTCATTGATGATTTCTCGAGGAAGACATGAGTTTATTTTCTGAAGGAGAAGTCAAAAGTGTTTGAAAGTTTCAAGAAACTGAAAGTGATGGTGGAGAAAGAAACAAACAAAGTCATCAAAGCAGTCCGATCTGACAGAGGAGGTGAATTCACTTCTGCTGAGTTCAACAAATACTACGAGGAACATGGAATCAAGCGTTTCTTGACTGTCCTATATTCTCCGTAGCAAAACGGTGTAACGGAATGAAAGAACCGAACCATTTTCGATATTGTTCGATCTATGTTGAAAGGGAAGAATATGCCAAAGAAGTTTTGGGCAGAGGCAATACAGTGCGCAGTTTATGTGCAAAATAGATGTACACATGCAAAGCTAGGCGAGAAGAAGCCTCAGGAGATCTAGAGTGGTATGAAGTCGAGTGTCTCTCATCTGAAGGTGTTCGATAGCATGGCCTATGGGCAAGTACCAAGTCAGCACAAGACTAAATTAGAAGATCGAATCAAGAAGTACATATTTATCGGGTATGTTGTTTATAAAGTGGTGGTAAGCTAAGATGTTCACGTGGAGGAAACAAAACAATGATGCTGGAGTAACCCGGCTGAAGAAGAAACTAGCTCAAAAATTGTTGTGCTTTCAATAGCAACAACCATCGAGTCCTCAGATGAAGAAATAAAGTCACAACAGCCCAGGATGAGAAGTCTGCAGGAAATATACGACACTACAAATGAAGTTCATGTTGTATGTCTTCTGACTGACTCTGAAGGCTTGAGTTTTGAGAAAGTTGTCCAAGATGAGAAGTGGAGAACAACATTGATGAGGAGATTAGGGTGATTGAACGGAACAAAGCTTGGGTGCTGACCGACCTTCTTGAATCGGACACTAAAATCTCAAAGTTTGATGGAGGAGAACGAGCTGATTCTAGGAGATATTAAAGCTTAATCGGAAGTCTGAGGTACCTTACAAGCACGAGACCCGATCTAATGCTGAGTGTTGGGATAACGAGCAGATTGAAAGTGATGAAGATATTATTGTATCATTTGATAAAATGAAGATCTTGTGGGTTTGATGAAGTCAAAGGCTACTTGGGTTAAAGGGTAGAGTGATTAGTGAGTCTGCATCTATACATAGGTATAATCATTCATATCCTTATGCTGCATGAACTTTCATCATTTGAAAGAATTTGAAAAATGCCTCTAAAGATGTTTTTAATCCGTTAAAAACTAAAGCAATCAATTAAACTGTTTTTAAGAAATTGTTTTAACTGATATTATATGAGCTTTTTCAATTAAAATGTTTTTAAAACTTTCATGACAGATTTTTAACTGACAGGTTTTCGAAATAATTGATTAAAACCATTTAAAACATTCACTGGAACTGTTTTAATCGATACACTTTCAAATTAATCGATTATTTTCATTAAAGGAGTTTTTGAAAACCTTCTGCCAGTGTTTTAACTGATATAGTTTCGAAATAATCGATTAAAATCACTTAAAATGTTTTGGAAAGTGTTCTGGAAGTATTTTAATCGATACAAACTCGAAACAATCGATTAAAATAACTTGAGATATTTTGAAAGGTGTTCTGTCAGAATTTTAATCAATGTAAAATCGAATTAATCGATTAAAACAACTTAAGGAACTTTTTGCTAGCTGTTTTAATCGATTAAAACTAGCTATTATAAGTTAAAATCACTTAAAAAGTTTTGTGAAAAGTTTTGGCAGAATATTAATCTATTAAATTGTGAATTAATCGATTAAAACAACTTAAGGGACTTTTTGTTAATTGTTTTAATCGATTGAAACGATGTCGCATCAGTTAAAATAAATCTGGAAAATGATCAAGAACATTTTAACATATTAAAAGAAGTTTTAACCGATTAATCAAAGACTTTTAACATATTAAAAGATTGTTTTAACAGATTAATTACACCAGCAGTTGAAAAACTTCTCTATATAAACAGATTTGATTCAACGTTTTAAAATACACTTTTGAACAATCAATCAAGTAATCATAAGAGCTATTTTCAAGAAAGAATCGTACAAGTTTTGTGGTGTTTTTTAAAGTTCTTTCTTGAGGCAATTTTTGCATTTTTTTTGGTGAAGAAACTCATTCTGCAGAAGCTGCATAATCCGGGTTTGATTGTTCTAGTTTCTTCTCTTTGTTTCTTTACATTTCTTTACTGTATTGTGGGTGTCTGGAATTGTTGAGCACTGGTTCTGTAGCTAGAATTTGGCTACAGGTTGGTACAAGAACTGAAACTTAGTTCTTGGGTGGTGAGTGTCTGAAATTGTTGGGCACTGGTTCTGTAGCTGGAATTTGGTTGCAGGTTGGTTCAAGAACTGAAATTTGGTTCTTGGTGAAAGTTTAGGTGCAAGATTTGGAATTTGGGTCTTGTGATAGATTGAGTATGTGATTGGAATCTGTAATCTGTAAAACATTCAATCTAGTGGAACTCAACTGGAATTTGGCTGAGAACTGGACGTAACCCTGGGATTGGGTGAACCAGTATAAATCTTGGTTGTATTTCTCTAAACCATACTCTCTTTAATTTTGCTGCTGTCTTATTTTGAATAACTTTTCTTGGTTCAAGAATTGGTCAAAACCCTTAATCTTTGAAATAAATAATCTGTAAATTGCGAAAATCTTTTAAAGATCAATTCACCCCCCCTCTTGATCTCAGCCTACTTTTCTAACACAGATACATGGAGAATCCAAACTACACACATTGGAAGACCTTGAAGAGAATTCTGAGATATGTTCGAGGAACCCTATCACTTGGTTTTTTCTATTCAAAATTGGATGACTACCGACTAGTGGGTTACTCGGATAGTGATTGGTGTGGTGATGTTGATGATCGGAAAAGTACTTCGGGTTATGTATTCGTACTCGGGAAAATGACATTTACTTGGTTGTCAAAGAAGCAGCCCATTGTAACTTTGTCTACCTGCAAGGCCGAGTATGTGGCGGCCTCTTGGAGTGTTTGTTATGCAGTCTGACTTTCAAATCTACTAAGGCATCTGGGAGTTATCCGAGACAAAGGGACTGTAATCCAAGTTGATAACAAGTCGGCAATCGATTTAGCAAAGAACCCGGTTAATCACGGAAGGAGCAAGTACATCGACGTTCGATTTTATTTCATCCAAGAACAAGTCAGAGAAGGAAAGGTCGAGCTGGAGCATGTTAAAAGCCGAGTTCAAACCGCAGATGTATTCATCAAGCCACTGTCGACCTCACTGCTGGAAAGTTGTAAAAGACTTATTGGAATAAGAGTGGGAAGAGTATTTAAGTTTAAGGGGGAGATTTGTTGTAAAACTTAAATTAGTCGTTTGGTATTCCTAGAATAGTATTAATGGTTTTAGGCTTAAGTGACATAACCAAGAAATATGGGCTGCAAACTTATTTAATAGGTATTATGATTTACTTTTGGCATTTGAAGAGACAAACATTTTGTCCATGAATACTTGTAACAATTGATTTGAAATAGTAGCAGTAAGAGAAAATAGAGAGATTAAAAGAAAACAAAATAAAGTGTTGCCAACTTTTATTTTCTGCCTACTTATTGCCAACAGTCTTATGGTTACCGGTTGAAATTTCTCGTAGAGAAAAAGAGGCTGAGAGATCTTTGATGCACAGGTGATTATGATACGGAGGTACTTTCTAGGCTTCTTTGTCTAGTGATCCATATAGATAGGAAAACATTGTAATACAATAATTATAAAGACTTGAAGGACAGAAAGGAAATGAACATGATAATATAGACACATTTAGTTTACTTCCTTTTCTTTTTATCTTTTCCCCTTCTGTTTTTTATGTTATTGAAATACCTTATTAACATAATTGGTATGTAAATTCGTTATCTTCACTTTGATTTTTATACATAAAATCACACACACACACACACACACACACATATATATATATATATATATATATATATATATATATATATATTTTAGTTGAATGATGGGATGATTTTTTAATATGTTTAATTTTTCTCAAGTTCAATATTGCCACAGAGCTGACAGATCGTTGCAAAACAGAAGGGGAACTGGGGCTGATTGGAATATTAATTTGGATGAGGTTCATGGCATGCAGGCATCTCACATGGAATAAGAATTTTAATGTAAAACCTCGGTAAATAATTATCCTTTTACTCCTTTCACCAATTATTCTTAACATAGTTTCATATCCATTGTGTAAAATAATAGCACTGGTTTTTATCGCTAGATAGAATATTTCTTTTGAATTTCGGTTATTCTGTTCAATTTCACTATGGATTTGCTATATGAAGCATAAATGCTCCTTCTTCTTTCATTTAGTCTTGATTGTCTTATCATTTTCATGAAACACTTTTTAGGAAGTATCTACTTGTGAAAAAAGCAAATTTAATTCAGAAATGTGTAAATGTATTCTTTAAAGACTTATTTAGAAGTAGACTAATGACTAACAAAGATGCTGATGCCACCTGTTTCTCTTGCCAACACCATGATTTATGTAATTTTTGTAAGGGTGTTTCTTCCTACACTCTATAATCTTCTTGCACCACCTCTAATTCGTTAGAGAGTGGACTTTCTGGAATATGAAAATACATTCTGAAATAAATGGGAGGTGTATGGAAAGTTGGAGCTTTTTTTAATTTTACTTGAATTAGACCCAACCCAAATTTTAGATGGATTCAAAGCCAATCATAGAGTCGATATCGGGCCATCGTCAACTGTCCGAAACGAAATTTCTATCTGCCCCTTCAGTTTTCCCTGCGTAATCTATCCTCATTGACTATAAGTATATTAAATTTTGCAGTGAAATTAGTGAAGCGCAAGACAGGTTTACCAATTTGCTGCAAATAATATACTTGAACCAGCCAAGCAATAGAGAGATTGTGAGACTAATAATGATGTGTGTTGGTCCTGGAGGACAGGGTGATGCCGGCCAGAGAATCCGCGATGAAATTCTTTTGATTCAGGTATAAAAAATACTTTTGTTTTCTGAAATAACATCGTTGTTCTTGCATGATAAATCATAGTCGTCTATTGCCTTTCAGAGAAATAATAACTGCAAAGCAGGCATGATGGAGGAATGGCACCAAAAGTTACACAATAATAATAGTCCAGATGATGTCATAATATGTGAGGTAACCAAGTTATCAGAACATGTTGGTCCATGATTTATCCCTCATTTTCAAATTTGTGTCTATGAATCTTGTTTAATAAAATATAGGAACAAAACATTTGTGTTCTCAATGAGCGTAAGGAATTATGTAATGTGAATTAATAGTTTAATTGATTAGGATGCTATAAAATTAGTTATAATTTCTATTTTAAATAAGATTAGTTGATGAATAAGTTGGTTGTTTCTTAATAGTTAATATTATTTAGTTAGACTATTTTAGAATTGCTGAGTACTTGGGGTTCTCAATCTGTTTCGAAAAATGAGGCTGTAATTGAATATTTCATATTTTCACCCTCTTTCCTTCTCCTTTCTGACTTTCTGAATTCTCCCTTTTTCTCATTTTCTGAGGCTCTAATTGTTAAGCACTGTTTTTCTTATCTCTTTAAAGTTACACTCTAGTTTTGACTAGAATTAGTTATTAAAGCTCCATTGGGGCAGAGTTGATTGCTGATAAATAATAAATACTTCTGCTAAAGACTAACATAGGCTAGTATGTTGCAGGTTGTGACAGTGACCTGGTTTGATAATTGTGAGGATTTTCTTTAATAATTAGTATGTTTTTTTTTTTCGTAAAAAAAGTTACTATTAATGTGTCAGGCACTTTTGAATTATGTCAGAAGCGGGTTCAGAATGGATGTTAATTGGAAAACATTGAATGCAAATGGTCTATCAAGAGAGAAACTTGCAAACTATGGCCGCCCAATTTTGTCAGAACCACATTTCAGGACTGATATCAGAGATAGGCTTATACATGACCTCACGGCATACTTGAAGATTCTAAAGGTATGAAACAGACTAAGGAGGGGCTCTTCTACTTGTTTTAAGTATTTGTTTGTGTTTTACATTCCATTTTATGGTTGGTTTACGAAACATAATCTGATGTGAACCATCAAAACTGTCAAATTTCTCTGCTTGTCAATAAGAGCGACCTCCTTGAATCTATCATGAGCTGAAACACAAACAAGTATAACAAATATAATCCTATCTCATGAAAAGATCAATTGAGCACTCCCCTTTAACCAAATGACTGCACAAACAGCACACTGCTAGACAATTTTAGCCTCCTTTGTTTTTTTGCTAAAACCTCTGAACCAGCAAAAAGTGTTCCATATTTGGTTCTTTATTTTTGACAAGTGAATTTGATGGGGAGAAGTGGATTGCATTGGAATCTTATTCATCTTTTTATTATGGGGCATTGTTTGGAGGAGTTAGGAACCTGAAAAAAGACTTAACACGTTTAAGAAAAATCATTAATAAACAATGATTATCTTACACCATGTAGAATTGACTAAAACTAACATTGTGATAGCACTAACATTTTATTGATATATATATATATATATATATATATATATATATATATATATATATATATATATATATATATATATATAAAGAGGACTCAAGTTACTTATTATTATCTTTTATTTTCTTTAAATCAAATGGTTCTAACAAATAATTCATTATAACAGTTAGATTGAGAGAAAATGATGGATGAGGATTACCTCATTAAGAGTTACTGTTGGAATAATTTGATCTCAATCTTCATTGTTTTGAGAGGGAAGGGGTCCCGTATTTCCCTCAACGTAGTCAATCCCTTGTTCGAGAAATACATGTCCTCACTGAAGTTTTGCTGCTTGGAAGAATCATTTTTATCTGAAGTACCTTAATTTTTCAGTGTTTGTTTCATGTTGGCATAGAGAATTAGCAAGAATTTATATGGTTGTAGGTTATATCATTAATTTCCCGATTTAATCTAGAATTTGTAGCTCAGCGATGGGGTTATGTTTTATTGATGAGAAATACAAGGACACACTCTTTAATGGTTCAAATTTTGTGGGTCTCAAGTATTATTTAATGAACCTCTGTTGATTCTGTAGTTCTGAATAAATTTTTTAAAGTGAGTTTAACTTTTATAATTTGTATCTTATTATATAATGCATTATAAATTACCAAGGTAAAACTCTACATATGATTGAAGAAGAATAACAGTAACAGTACCTTCGGTATTCTATGTAAGTTTTCTTCTTATTAACGGACACAACTTTTACACAGTATCATAGATACTATTGGTGATTTTTTCCAATCAAATATATTAAATATTTAATGAAACTCTGCATATGATTGGATAAAAAGTACAACAGACTGACAAAATAGGAAATTAACATTTGAAGTATTACTAATAGAGTATTGCTAAAATGGTCTACTTGTTAGGAAATATTACTTGTTGGAAATGGTTATCTTAAATATTCTGTGATACACAGGCTGTTTACACCGGCGTGGACCTTGAACATGCTATTCAAAGGTGATTGTTGCAAATGTAAAGAATACCTGTAATTTTTTATCTTGTTTGATTCTTACATGAAAGACATTGGACTTGTAATACAAAATCTTGATTTTTCTTCCTGATCTTCCAGGATGGCAACATTGCAAGTGCAATTAAACATAGTTCGGGTTTGTCATTGAAACTGCTGGTAAAGAGTTTCTTTATAGGCATTTCTAGTGAACTTATGCTTGGAAGGTCTTCATCATGTAGATATTAGTCCTGCAGATAAAATATGAGAAGTATATTGCATTTATTGATTGTGCTTATTTATACCCGCAGGAAAATCTGAATTTTGTCAAATAACATTTTGGTGACAACAATATTAGCCCACTAATGGAGGTTGGTTTGCTTAAATTTGACGCAAAATATAACTTTTGCATGTGACTGTCCTTGAACACGTGAAAATTATTTTTCTCAGAAGTTATTGGAATCACGCATTGAGCTTCGCCCTGTTCTGCAAACATCTCATAAAAGATTGAAAGATATGATTTTCCTTGATATTTCTTTGGATTCTGCTCTTGGAACCACTGCGGAAAAGGGATTAAAGAATGTGAACTTTGCAAACCCATTGGTAACGATACTTCGTACCTAAAATTATTATTTTGTAAGGAGTATTGTTTTCAAAGGACCCTGACTTTTCCCCCGCTTCGAATTGACAACAGGAAGTATTGTCTTTGTTTTCTTTGATGCTTGAGAATCTTTGCTTATCAACTGTCAACAATGAAGACTACACATACTGCACAAAGGTACGGACCACATTTTCCATAGGGCTTTTTATCTCTTCCTTCGAGCTAGAAGAAGGAATCGATAAGAAAATATCAACAATAAACGGGACAGCTCACAATGTTCATATTTATTTATTATAGGCCTTTGCATTTAGTATTGGATAGACCCATACAATAACGGTCATAGTTATATCCTATCTTTTTTTTCGCTTCTTCAGCAATAGTAAATTTTTTTTTTGAATTATGGATACAACAATCCAAATATTTTTAGTATTTAAAGAATCTTCTTTCAGAATCTTACTTTGAAATTTCTTGAACTTTCTCTCAGGGTCTTCAGGGTCTTTGTGATAAGTTGAAGTGCCTGTGGTTGTACTTCTCCTTTATGTAATGCATGGTTAATTATTGCTGATGGCATCATCCTGTCTTATGAAGGACTCGTATCGCATTTGTGTATTATACAAATCGGGTAATAGTCAGTGGGCATTACAAACAAAGGCTATACTTGACCGATTGCAGCTATTACTTGCTGAAAGGTCTCAGCATTACCAAAATCGGATTCAACCAAGTGCTCAGTATCTTGGTAATTTGCTTGGACATCCAAAATGGACGGTATGTTAGTTAACTTAGCTTTTCGAAAATAATACAGAACTAGAGATTGGTTTTGGATCATACAAATTCTTATGTTAAATTCTGCTTCTGATGCCTTTCTTCCATATCAGATTGATATTTTTACAGAGGAGTTGATAAGATCGGGATGTTCTGCTATTATGTCAATCCTCATTAACCATTTTGACCCCATTCTTAGGAAAATTGCGAATTTAAGCTGGAAAGAATGTGATGTACATGTTATTGTATGTATAATAGACTGGACTCAATCTATGGTTACTGACTCTTCTTCAAACCCTAACATCACGGCATCATAATGCTATTATTTGTTTATAAACTGATATCACAACTTTCTTTTAAAATTCTTCTCCTAATCCTGGTTTGTACGTAAATTCTTTTTTTGGTAGCTGGCAGGTTATAAGTGCAGTGGAAGTGTCTGGCTTTGTGACATTCGTCAATGAATTGATAACAGCTCAAGATAAAGTTTATCGAAGGCCCACTATTATTATTGCATAAAAAATAACTGGTGATGAAGAAATTCCAGGAGGAGCGGTAGCAGTGCTAACAACTGCTATGCCAGATGTTCTTTCCCATAATTTCAATTAGAGCCAGAAATAACAAGGCATGTACAACATTTCACTATATCTTGTTTCTAATGATGATTCTATGCCTCTGTCGTAGGCTTGCTGGTGATAGTTTTTCTTTTTGGTGATCCACCGGGGATTTGATTGCACTCCCGGAAATCTATTTTGACTTGCCCCCTAGGGAAGAATGGAGTTTTTGACTCCTTGTTGGATGTTGTTGTTTTGAGCTGGCTTTGCCTATGCTCTTATTCCACTGGGGAATGGGTTTTTACCTTTTTCTCGCGATTTTATCTCTTTTTCGCGATTTTTAAAAATTTGGCTTTTAAATGTGTGCGCCTTTTATGCACTATAGACCCCAAATCTTGCCCGGCCTCCAAATAAAGAGTAGAAGACCTCCTATTCGAAGATGGATGAAGCCTAAAAAACCACTAGGAGAAACTATTAGGCCCCATACTAGGATAGGAGGGATTTTCTGCACAAAAAATAAGTTTTCTCGCCTTTTTGGGACGAGACCGCCATCTCGAAATCGAGACCGCTGTCTCGCCTCACGCAAATGGCGAGACCGCCGTCTCACCAAACGAGACGGCGGTCTCGCCACCTGCGAATGACGAGACGGCGGTCTCGCCACTTTGACATGACGAGACGGCGATCTCGACCCTGTCAGACGAGAACGGCGGTCTCGCCACTGTCAGGCGCGAAAACCTATAAATAGGGGCTCTCCCCCCCTCATTTCCACACATCACACAGCTTTTGCTCTCACTTCTCTCTAAAAACTTCTCTCTAGAATCCCTCTAACGCATTTCCGGAGCTTCTGAGTGCCTTTGTGAGCGTTTTTCGGCATCTAGAAAAGTTTCCAGCGTCGTGTAGAGTGAAGGGCTGCCAAAAAACATCCATTTCTTTTAAAGAAATAGAATAAAAGCTTGCTTCGGAGGTTTAAATTCTCCCTCTCTACTTTTACTGCTTTAATTTTAAATTATGCAATAGATTAGGGCCATGTAGTCATAACTTTAAATTCCGCAAAATAAAAAGGGCAAAAGCGTATTTTTCCGGTTTATTTATCAATAAAATAGCTGGCCTATCATAGGGAACCCGAAAGGGGCGTAGTAAAGGAACTAATACTTCCTTTACACGTAACTAACTCCCTTACCCAACTCTGGTTCTAATGACCAAAGTTGGTTTTCGAAAACCAACGCCTTTTAAAAACCCCTTTTCCGATGTTTTCGGTAAAAACATCGGTGGCGACTCCACAGAACCCCTCAAAATTAGTCCTTGGGTTAGCCCGGTTATCGGACAACCTAAAGGCGTTGTAACCACCCATAAAAAACGCGAAAACAAGAGGGTGGAAACCATCGCTCCGACCGCGTCTCTTTTTTAGACGGCGGCGACAGATGGCGACTCCACTGGGGAAACCTCAAGAGTTGATCCCATTTAGTGATGGGCCGGCTTAAAAATAAATAAACCAAGAAAATAACGCTTTTGCCCTTAACTTGTATTATAACATGTTTTACGGTTTGACTTTAATAACTGTTGCTTGTTTATACTTACGCAATTGTGTGAAATACAAACTGTACACAAACCCTTGCACACTACAGTTCCCTCTATACCCGGGGGCAAGTGAGAAAACCATAGGGAGTGGGTGACAGGTACGGTTCGCTGTAGTGAGGGCCTTGAGCCCACCAGTGTGATCGGAAACCACCACTCAAGGTGATAACCTTCCTCTTTTGGCAACAAGACTGACTATGGCCTTAATGCTAAGCATGGTCGGACGACTGGAGAGTGGGGACCCTATAATGGGGGCACCTTGGGGCCTTAGCCTGGTGAGAACAGTTAGAACCAACCCTCGCCAATGCACTTTTCTGCAGGAAAACCCTACCTCGTGATAAAAACGAATTCTCGCCTGTTCGCGGATGACCGAATTATGTGCGCATATATTTGTTGTATTTGTCTGTTGCATAGCATAAACAAACAACAAAACAAAAAATCAAACAAAAAAATATCTTTCCAAATAAACCCCCTTATCTCAGACAGTCTGCCTTTTAGCTAGCCTGGTTTCAGGTTCTTTGTAAGCTAAGTAACCACGCAATTCTGACAGAAGAGATAAGGGACGCTAACTATTCTTTCACATAAAGCCACATTTTTATCTCGGACAGTCTGCCTTTTAGCTAGCCTGGTTTCAGGTTCTTTGTAAGCTAAGTAGTCACGCAGTTCTGACAGAAGAGATAAAAGGCTATAAAATAAGCAAATAAACATCAAATAAAAAACAAAATAAAGTCCATTTCCAAAACCATAAATAAGACCTGGTCCAAAAATGTTACACTCATGAAACATTCATGTAAATAGTTTATTCTTCAAAAAATATACGCAATTAATTAGCATACATCATGTAGAAAAACATGATAAATAGGAAAATAAACACTCACATTCATTCAAATAAGCATCATTTTCATCAAACATGCATTTTGGTTTTAGAAATGGAGGGGACTAGTAGACAGCCAAAGAAGGTGGATATTCCCCGTTTCCATACTGAGAGGTTGGAACGGCTAAGCGCGGCAATGCCATCAGAGGTCCGCGCTGACTTTGAAAAATCCTATGGACGGATTTTAGACCTTCTAAAGATCTGTGTCGATCAGGTGTTCCTAAGGGCACTAATCCATTTCTGGAATTCCAGTCTGCGGTGTTTCGAATTTCCGCAGTTCGACCTGGTGCCCACCCTAGAGGAGTATGAGACCATGTTGAAATGGCCCAAATCAGCCGGGGTTCATGTCCGCCACGAGGCATATACTCCTGCAGCACCAGTCGCTGCCCTTATTCAACTACCATTCCGGCAGAGTACCCTGATAAGGAAGGGGAACGCCCAGGGTTGGAAAGTATCAATGCTAGAAGACCACCTGTCCTACCTGGCTGAAAGGGCAGAGTGGGTCGCCTTCAACAAAACCCTGGCACTCATAATTTTTGGAACGGTCTTGTTCCCCTTCCACTTTGACACAGTAGATCAGGCCGTCATGGACGCCTTCTTCGCCTGGGACGTGAACTCAAAGAGTCCCCTACCTGCAATCCTTGCCGACACCTTGCTCTCGGTGGAATTCTGCCACCAGAAGCAAGGAAAAACACTCCGCTGCTGCTCTTCATTACTATTTGTGTGGAGCGCCACGCACCTTTACGCCTCCAGCCACATGGGGATATTCCCCGACCCTTTAAGGAGCTTCTCCAAGATCCCCCTCCAATGACACCTGACTTCAGAATGGAGGGACGAGTGGGAACGAAAGGACGCCAATAGTTTATCCTGGGTCTGCCCTTGGTTCCGACCCGGCCCAGTTCTCATCAGATGTGGGGACTATTCGAGCATACCCTTGATAGGACTCAAGAGTTGCATAGCCTACTCACCTAGAGTAGCTATGAGGCAGCTCATGAGGACCCAAACTACTATCTCTCAGGGAGAGCTCGGGGGACTGTGTTTCTTTGGAGACCCGTGCACAATCGCCAACTCACTAGCTGTGAGAAAAGCATGGGAGAGGTCAGTCTATATGGGGGACAGAGAGCTAGGAAAAGCTCGGGTGGCTGTCACCAGTGACTATGAGGCGTGGAGAAAGAAAAGAGGGATGACTCAACCATCCACCACACCCACTACAAACGCCAACAATGAAGGGCTGCAGGCGCAAATTGATGCCTTGACCCAGAGGATAACGATCATGGGAGCCCAGATGAGGGCCCTTGAAGAGAGAGAACAAGCTTCTATCCTCACAATAGACGGTCTGCAAAGGCAAGGCAAGAAAAAGGATCATGAAATAGAGCGCCTCAAGGACCAGTGTGCTGACTCCAATGAACAAGCTATCCGAGCATCCAAAACTGCCAGAACCAGTTCGGATAGCCAACTCCAAGAAATAACCGCCAAGTCAGCACGCCTTGAGACCGAATCATCAAAGCAGGCTCAAAGAATCAAAGAATTGTCGCAAGAGCTCACCAAGACTCGGTTAGATATCCGCCAAGAGCGAGAGGCCAACCGGAGACTCAACAGAAGTCTCGTTGAGCTACGCTACAAAGAAAGAGACGGGCTAGCTCAGTACAGCCAGGTACTGCAAGAGAAAGACCGAGCCTTTGCGAAGCTCGATGAACTACAAGCCTTGGTCGTTCATCAAGAGGCGAAGATCAAAGAGGCTCAACAGTATAGTGAAGACATGAGCCAGGCGGTCCGCAAGCAAAGCGAAGCACTTGCTCGTCACGTCCGGGAAGCTGAGAGAGAACTACAAAGGGATCAAGACCCGCCTGTGGGTTTCTTTAAAGTTTTCCGCTTTTGCCAAAAGTTGCTTCGCCGTATAGAATAGGGGAATGTACACCTTCTGTCGAATAAATAAAATCTTCTTTATTCAAATGACTGTCTACTTGCATGCATAAACATTCATTTGCACATTTAATTTCCCCTCCTTCACACTTAATAAAAAAAGATAATTAAAAGGAAGGATTAACTAACACGTCTTCTAAATCAAAAGAATGGAGAGAAAGCCACTCCTAATAAAGCTTACCCCAACGGTCGACTCATCGCAAGAGGAAAATAAGCCTCGGCCGTTGGTCCTCAAGAATAAAGAAGAGGGGGCAAGGACACCAGTGCGACTATTTATGCCACGTCCTTTCCCCTACGAATCAAATAAAGCTGTACCGTGGAGATATGGAGAATCTCCACCAATAAAAGAAGAAATAACAAACATAGCCGGTATTGGGGGCATGACTAGAAGTGG